TTTGTGGAGCAGAACCATCGGGTCAGAGACATGATAAAAACACAGAGTGCCTGCTTTATATTCCAGATGAACTCCAATCTTGTACGAGCAAATTCCTGATACAGTCGTTTCTACATTATTGTGACGGAACGAGTAACCATTTGCAGTGCACTCTAAACTCCAGGACTTGTCATTGTTTCCAAAATGTGACTCCTCTGATGTTCGGTTGATGTCCTTGTATGCCACTGCCACAGACAGAGTGCGTGCATGCCACTCCACCTCCCAGTAACATCGCTCTAACAAACCCTCTCTGCACAGCACCTGCGGGAACTTAGTAAACCTGTCTGGCTGAGCAGCATACGGGCAGGGTGAAGGCCTCATCCTGCGGTTGTCGCCTATCAGGTGGAGATAGGGGTAGTTTGAGTTCACATCCAGAGTGAGGGGACAGCAATCTACATTTTACCTGTGGCAGAGATCCTGGGCCATGTTTCCCTTAAGACATTCTCCAGTTTATCTCTCAGCTCAGACACGCAATCAGTCAAGGAACGCAGAGGACCAGCACCAGGAAATCTGACGAGAAACAAGACAGTGTCAAAGACAGGGAAAACAATAATACAAAATATTGGCAAGATATATACTAATAGAGATAGTTTGAATAAAGGAGCTAGAGGCGGAGTAATTATTGGTTGCTTTCAGAATACTTATTCTTAAGGGGAGGTGGGGCTTTAACTCAATTATACATTTTTAGCAGTCAACAATTACTGTATCAGTTCTTGTTCAGTGTCTTTTTAGGCATTTTTATTATTGTTATTTATTTCTACTTCATTCATTTCGGCATCTTTTAATTTGTTTGAAAACCTTACAATGATCGCCTACAGGTTTACTCCATGTTTGAGGTCTTTTTAGCTGTTCCAACTGTCCCGACTGTGCGTCCATTGTAAGCTGTGGGTAAAGACCTGGAGACTTCCAGCAGAAATGTCAAAAAATAAATAATAAAATCATCAACTTAATGTCAGAAAACACTAAAAAGTGCACCTGAATAAAATGAATGTGATCATCAGCATGTGACAGCAGTTCCAGTTCGGTGTCTCGCCTCCTCAGCTTGGTGATCTCCTTCTCCAGCTGCAGCTGAAGCTCCTCAGTCTGAGCGATGGCAGTTTTCTCCTGGTCTCTGATCAGCCGCTTCACCTCTCTGTGTCTTCTCTGCATGGTGGAGATCAGCTCAGCAAAGATCTTGTCACAGTCCCTCAGTGCAGTCTGGGCACAACTCGGTTTTTCGATTTAAATGTTGCATATCATTTTAGTTAAAACCACGACTAAACATGATAAAAACCACCCCAGCTGTAGTGGCACTGTTCAAGTTGGTCCTGAAATTTGACCTCCCAAGAGACAAGATCAAAATGACTTCCTCTTGGGAATCAGATGAGAACTGTATTACATTTTACATGCCGTTTATAAGGCATGCTTTTTCCAGTGAAACATTAAATGGAGATTCTAGTAGAGAAGGACCAATGGAGTGTATTTCCAGGAAATAATCTTCATTCAGATATTGCTAGGTAATTGCTTGATGTGTAAATAAGCAACTGTTTGCTAACAAGCTCATCAACTTAAAAAAGGTGGTAAATGTTGTGTTTACAACTTCTTACTGCTGCCCCCAGTGGCGATTGTTTAAAGCAGTTATTGCAGGTTTAAACCACTTAAACCCTTTAATCAGTGTGAAAATTGGGAGTGCCTATTACCATACTGACTGTAGGCATTTTTTAAAAACATGCCCTAGGGAAACATGTTATTCCTGTTTAGAGTATCCTCACTGGCATTTCACAATCATTCAAGATCTAATTCTTACAGGCACACATATTCTCCTAAATATCTCACCTTGAGATTCTCCTCAGATTGGCTCAGCTCCTTCTGCTCCTTCTCTCTCTGCTGGACTCTCTCCTGGACTTCCTTCTGACTTGAAACCAGATTTTTCTGGAAGGAAGAAAGCATGATTATTTCTGGTGAGCCATTTATGAGTTTTATGGCCACATGTCCTTTGGGAGTACAGGGGCACTTCTGGACTTTGAAAGGGAACAATGTGTGCAGATAAGTGAATGAAGTGAACATGTACAGATTTTTAAAACCTCAATATATTTTCAAAAACGAAGACAGGCTTCAGATTGAGAGATTTAGCTTCCATGTCCATCTCAGCCTTTTGTACTGAAACAGAACCTGTGTGATACTTTATGCTCATCTGCAGACCACAGAGAGCAAACAAGCTACTTTTCTGTTTGGCAGTAGACCTCCATCAACGTGTTGTGCTTTGTACACACCTTTTCCTGCAGTGGGATTGTTGCTGAGACCAGCTGGTGCTTCTTCAATATAGGGACGCTGTAGTGAGGCTCGAGGTGAGCTGGACAATAAGATGCCAAACACGTCAGGCAAGACATCGTGGCCTTGTATCACTTGGTCCCACTGCAGAAATCACAGGCGACATCTGCTGGGCCAGCACAGGCTACAGCAGCATGCGGTGAATCCTGCTCCTTCAGCTTCTCAACAACCTAGTGATGACAGTGAAAGTAGTGAGGTCAGTCACAGATGACCAAGAAAGTGATTTCATTGAGTAAAATGAAACATAAACCATAAAGTTTAGGGGAAGTTTAGGAGAAAAAAAGTTAATTAGCTCTGTTCAGAAAGCACATACCATAGACTAACTTTGAGAGTGATCCCAAAATACATTTTAATTAAAACACTATACTAGTAAAATATTATTTAACCCCTACACTTGTATTTAAAGAACCAATATATTTACTGAGTGGAATAGAGTTTTTAAAAAGTACCATTTCTAAATTACCCCACCCACAGAAATCTGACATTTCTGTGTTATTTAGTTAGTTGGTCAACATATATGCAGATAACAATATATGTGCAAAAGACTAACACTGACCTAACAGTGGCACAGATGATCAGTCTAGCTCATCAAAGCGTGCACTGCTATTAACACCACTAACAAAAACAAAACCTGCATTAAGATTCAATTTGTGGAGACGTATAGAGGGCGACACTAAAATAGGAAGAAAGAACTATTACAATAGTTTAAGTGTGTATATCGTCACAGGAAAAAGTGGGGCAATTACATAATAATCTTGCTGATATATTATCTGTTCACAATCAGAATCAGGTTTATTGCCAGGTAGGTTTTCACATACAAGGAATTTGCCTACAATAAACATCGAAAATATGGAGATGGATAAATCGCTGCCAGTCAAGAAGCATAAATATAAAATCATGACAATAAAATATGAATACATACAAATATATGTACATGACTTGTATTTAAATGGACGAGCTATATGGTTTTGTGTGGGGATGTGCAAAATATTGACTACTGAATGTGCAAAAGTTTGTAATATAAGATACAGGTAAGAGAGAAGGCCTCTTTCACACCTCACCTCAGCCAGCATGTTGTTCCTCCTCAGAGCAGGTCTGGGACTGAATGTCTCTCTGCATTGAGGGCAGCTGTACTTTCCCTTCTCCTCTTCCTTGTCCCAACAATCCTCAATACAGCCTCTGCAGTAACTGTGTCCACAGTAAATTGTGACTGGTTCTTTTAGCAGGTCCAGACATACGGAACAACAGAACTGATCCTGGTCCAGCTCAACTCCACATTGCTCCTCAGGCTGTTGCTGTTGGTCAGCCATTTTACTGACAATCAATTTCATAAAAGGACAGGAGCGTTGCTGAGTTTCAGTTTGTATGAAATGCCTGAAAAAGAAGGAGCAGACTCCCAGCTCCAACCAGGAGAGGAGAGGCCAACCAAAGCAGTGTAGTCTGAATGTCCACCCTCTTTAATTGACATCAACTGTGTGCTCAAAGAAAATGTGTTAAAGGGGCAGATGCCAATTTCACACATCTAGATCAGTTTACCAGTCGTGGTTAGTGATAATTAGTTGTTTTAAAAGTTGCACAATGTCCTCTGCGGTTCTGAACCGCCCTTTCAAAGTCTGATAAAATAACCCTTATGAGGCCATATTGATGTCAGCAGGGTTATCTTGATTTAGGTTTGCGACTACAAATCTTCCCATGACATACACTAGGGGCATCATACCGATTGTAACATTTCCACAATGTTAATTTTGATTACATTTAATGCAACTCTATTCACCCCTGTAAGGGCAAATAGGTTAAATGCATGGAGTTCTTGTAATAAATTTGGTGGTAGAAATGTATGGATATATATTTAATTCATGCAGTGACATAGTGAACCTGAGGGGTCTCACAGTCCTTTACACTTGGTATACTTTTATGCTTCATGTTGGGAGGTGGTGCTCTGAGGTAAAGATAGGACATTTTAGATGTTCCAGACTCCCTTGATAAGAAATGTGCTCTGCCTCCTTCTGTTGGTATGATTTTACATGATCCTGTATGACATGGTACTTACTGTATAAAGCTGAGCGAAATGTAATGTTAGTTTGTGCTCATGGATATATGCTGTACCAAGATCTTCTCTGACGTCAGATTTTTGTTGAAGTAAACAGCACAGCTTTGGCTGAACAGTATTAATTCTATTCATTAAAGTTAGGATTGGCCATGAAGTTTTTCATCATCATACATAACACATAATATGTATCAAATAATATCTGAGTTGTACAAAAACAATAAAGGCCAAATATACGTTGTTGTTTTTTTTGTACTACACGTACAAATGCCTACTGCAAATTACTTAGATATATGAAAAAGAAAACAATGAAATTACTGACCATTATTGATGCATTAAAAAATATTACAAGAGATTCCTGAACTGTTCTTTCAAATTTTATTTCATTTTTTTCTGTCTTTTATTAGGTTATAATTCTGTTTAAAAGGTGTGCTCTGTTTTCTAAAGACCTTATCCTGATAGAGTTTCACTTGCCTGTTGCTGTTGGGAGCCACCTGCTGATCAGAGCTTGCAGATGCATTGTAAAAATAAAAATTCCATCCTAAAGAGGTAAACTAGTCAGGACATACAACCCCAATAATAAAACAAGGACAAATGAGAAAACTTGAGCAATCAATACTTTCATTTGTTTTTAAATTTTTTTTTAATAAATACACATTGGAAAAGCCAAACCAATTTCAAACAACCACTGTCAGATAATTAAAGAGTGTTCACTTCACACATTAAAATTTACATGTATTTTACACATTACAAATATATAATGGTGGCACGTGCCCAAAGTTCTTTGATTATATAACATTATTTACAAATAATTTCTAAACGAACATTAACAGAGATTTGAACATTTCCCTCAACCTTTTTAAGGTCACTGCCCCAAAGATTCTTCCCTGTAGTTAAAGCTGCTCTAATCTGTTTTTATTTTTGTATTTACAATGGATAAAGTGACTATGCATGATGTGAAAGTTGTTGTCGCTCATTGTATAAAACATACTAAGAATAATCTTGTGGCATTTAAAGACAAATGCTGCAAGATCAGGAAAAAGCAGGTTCCACTTTTGTGCAGCCGGAGAAAAGCAACCGCAGCCGTTTTCCTCCCACAAGGTTTTAGTGTCATGTGACATGGTGACGCTATGCAGCACTGGCAATAGTCGGACACACTTTCTAACTATCATGCATCACGTTAAGCGCAGCACCTCATACAGTCAGACGCACCTAATATGTCTTCATGTTGTTGCGCAAGTGGCAAAAAAATGTTAATTCAGCTTAAGTGTATCTTTTCCTTTGTCCATGACAGCCTTAGCTGCCAACTGTGCTGCCTCCAATGGTGTTTTTGCTCCCTCAGCTGCATTGTGTCCAATCATACCACCCATTACTCCTCCTGTTGCAGCCAAGCCTGCTGTTGACACACCTACCACCACTCCGGCAGCTGTCAGTCCTGCTGCTTCTACTCCTCCTGCTACTACGGCTGCTCCTCCCACTGCTGGAATTCTTTTCACAAGTGTCATTAATCCTTTAAAGTTAGTTATAGCTGTGAAAACTAACCGGACCATGACTGCCACACCAAAAAAAGCTCCCAACACTGCTCCTGTTGCAGTACCTGCAAGTTGGATCAGAAACCTCTCGGACACTCTGGTTTTAGCCTGTTTTCTGATCTCTTCCACTGGCAGGTTTCCTGATGACTGTCTAATGTTCTCTTCCTCTCTCTGTATTTCTTTCTCTACTGTTTCAAACATCATATTGGTGTAGCAGCCCCCATTGTTTTCCATCACCATCTTGTCTATTGTGTTGAGTAGGTCCTCCACCTGGAACTGGTTACTCCTGTAGTTGTTCTGCTGTTTGTTCTTCCAGTATTTATTATCAATGACGTGGCACCGGCCTCCACACCTCTTCACCAGGTCACTCAGATTCTTATTCTGATTGACAAACTCTTCAATTTTCATCCCTTTAGGGAGCTGGTCACCATGAGTGAAGACAATGACAGCATATTTTAGAGCATCTTCAGAGAAATATTGACATATTTTGTTGATGACAGCCTGCTCCTGCTCTGTGAATTTCTCTACTTTCAGCACAATGAGAAAAGCATGAGGCCCAGGAGCGCACTCTGTGATACAGCTCACTATCTCAGGCTTCATGTCGTCCTCAGACCTTTCTGCATCAAAGAAACCAGGAGTGTCGATCAAAGTGACGCTTCTTCCATTGACAGATTTGGTTTCAGATTGACATGTTCTTGTTCCAGAGTTGGGTGAATGGTTTGTGGTGAATAATTTCTCTCCAAATATGGTGTTAGCTAGGTTGCTTTTCCCAGATCCAGTTTTTCCCAGCAGGACAATCCTCTTTGTAGTTGACACTACAAGAGAACAATGACAAGGGGAAATCTCAATGGCTAATTTGGATGAAAATAAACAATAAACCATGTCCATATAAATCTGTGACATGGTGAGTTACAGCAGTCACATACATTTCATAACACTGACAGATCACCTGAATTGTTCCAGTAAAGAAAGCTTCTGCTATTCACCCAAGTAGTGGTGTGCAATATTATGATATTAAATTGTAAAATATTAAAATGTGTCCACAATCTGCCTTTTCAGAGAGATCGTTAGTATTGCGCTACAGTGCACAATCAGTTTAGTTCTATGGCTCATACACGCAGTTGACAGCTGCTCTGTCAACATCGCACGTCAGCTGCCTCGCTGCCTCGAGGAATCAGTTCTTTGCTGTTTGAATAAATCATTATTCAACATTGTAAACGATTAATAAAGTAGTGTTATATTTCTCTTTTAAACCAACAAAATAGTCTTAAAAACCTACATGAAATTGAATTGTGATAAGATCAAGATCATCGTGATCCTGCCTGAAATAAATCGTGACATGATATTTTTGCCATATCGCCCACCCCTACACCCAATCAACAAATACTGTTCTAATGCTAGGAGATAATTTACACTTTACTGTATTATAACCAAATCAAATACATCTGGGTGTAAATGAGTAACATATTAATTTAAAAAGCACAACAAATGGGTACCACAGGACTGAATTCCGATTATTTTCTGTGATATAATATCTATACCCACCATGGTCGGGTTGGTGAACATCTTTTGTGAATCGTTTGAGTTGTAAAGTTTCCTGGACAGACTTGAAGACCTGTAGAGACAAGGAAGTATTGGGTTTATACCAATTCCATTCCGCATCTTGTGCACAAAATATGTTATACTGTTTAATTACTTCAACACTATTCAACCATGAGATTTACATGTAATAATTTTGAATAGATTTGCCATTTATAAAATTGTGTTATTTTTGAGTGCTGGTATCAAGACACACTAATTAAATCACTCTCATTATCATTAGGATCATTATTTGGCCTCTATAAATTTGTGTCTGTGCACATTTTCATTACCTCAACAGACTCTTCATCATTGGGGTGGATGGCGATGCGGACCATGAATGGTGTTCTGCTGGCTCGGTTCTGTTCAAACTCATGGACCTCCTCCAGTAGAACCCTGGCTACCACGTTGTCAGGGAAACGCAGAGCAATCCCAGCCCCGAGTACGGGGAACGCAACAGATCCAAACCCTCTGTTCTCACAAGAAGTTAGGATTTTGTTGATGCACAGTCTCAGAACCTGGAAAGAATTTAGTTATTTTTAAGGTTAGGCATAGGAAACACATTAGTATGGTGTAGAGGACTGGGAAACAGCTTCTGACTCAGTATTCACAAACACAAACACAACAAGTTGAGACACTCCTCCTCTATTTTACCTGGACTGCAGCCACATCGTCGTCATCATCCCAGGGAACAAGGCTGGGGAAGAACACTGCATTAGATGGAAGTCCAGGCAAACCCTCTACCAGGAATGTGTCACCAGGCATCATTTCTTCTTCTGCTTCCTTTCTAAACATTGCTGTCAGCTGGGGTCCAACCATTTCAAACAAAGTGTTTCCAACACGGGTAGTGAGAGGATCATGGCCAACCATGGGCGATACCAGAGCATCCACCTGGGAGGAGAGCAGGTGATGTGATGGTGTTTGAACAATCCACAGATTTTTCAACTTATCTCTATACTTACTATTAGGGCTGTCCGATATGACGATATACTGTATACTGTCTTTTTAGCCATGTGTATTAGGGAACGTTTAATGACTTGCCCACGGATATGCAGCTTACTTTCTAGTCTCACCAAGACATGCTGTTGTGAGGTTAGCTATAGCTGCAGGTAAGTTGTGAGTATCGCAGTCTGGAGCTTCTGTGTTCCTCTGGAACCGTCTCGTCCTCTCATGTTAGCTTTGCAGCAGCACGTAGCGACAATTTGCTAATCCACAACTTAGATAACATCAGTGAAATTTCTTGCTGTGCCGTTGTTCACTCTATATGATAGTACTTGTCATGGTATTGGATTTCTTAATCTGAATCCAGAATCACATTCGCACCTTTATGATGCAGAGAAATATCATGAGTTACTGTTGGACATTCCAGCAGTAGGTATTCCAATTGTAGGATTGGATTTGTGCACATATAACACAAGTTGAACACAAGCTGTTGTGTGGCCTGTGTAGATACCAGGATAATTTCAAATATAGAAGCATATCTGATGCACCTGAGATGGGTGACTGAAAAAAATGCTGTGTACACATTTATAATACCATGCCTGTCATGGAAAAGCATTCATGCAGGTATCCAAAACAGGAGTTGTGCTATTAAGAGTTGTTATTATCCTCCAATATAATCACTGATACAATATGAAAATCTCTAGTCTGAACAGGTTTAATCCATTTTCTCTTAAAAACGTTTCTCACCTGCTGGGTCTCGATGGTTCCCTGAATGATCTCCACACGGACACCATCTCCAGGAGCTCCAGCTGTGGCTCCTATTGCAGTGTTTTGGGCAGTATCGATCTGGAACCCCACATCACTTGGTTGGTTTCCAGGACTTATCTCTTGGAGAAGCCTGTCACATGCTTCCTGCATGGCCCGCACCACCTCTCCTCTGTTATCAATCAGGATGATTCTGCTCAGACTTCGCCCTCCCTGACTGCCAAACTCCTTAACAGCAGTCACGATAGCCTCAGAACACACAGTGACAGGAACACCAAACGCACCTGAGCTGATACAGGGCATGGCTATAGACTCAAACTCCATCATTTCTGCTAAATTCAGAGCAGAATGGACAGTTTTTTCTAATAACAACCTTTCTTTGCCACCTGATTCTCCACCTACAGGCCCAACGGCATGCAGCAGCTTCTTGCAGTTTAAGTTCCCCCCTGTGGTCACTACAACTTCACCTGTAGGAATTTTCCCAGTCTGCTTTACTATAGCGCTGCTCTCTTTCTGAACCTGAGGGCCACCTGCTTTACTCAGTGCAGCAGCAACACCGCCACAGTGTTTCAGGTCTCCATTGGCAGCGTTCACCAGGGCGTCAGCAACCTGTTTGGTGATGTCCCCCTGACACACCAGAACCTGGAGTCCGCCACAAAGGCTGTAGCTAGCAACTAGGGTGTTAACTTCACTTAAACTCAAAGATGCCAAATTCTGTGTAACACTTACGAGTTTATCTTTCCCAGTGGGAGTACGGATATTTCTTACTGCTCCTAATGAGTCAGTAGCGCCTTTATCCTGAATAAGGGAGTCCAAAAATGGACCCAAGTTGTTCCTGACCTCAGTCACTTTGCTGGATGGACCTTCCAGCATTACCACAGGCCCAGAGGAAGATGTTAAAGTATGGAGGGTAACCCCTGAATAGTCAAAACCATGCAGCTGCAGCAATTCTGGTAACTCTTGTGCTAACTCTGGGAAAGGGAGATCGACTATGCTTTGCACACAAGACTGGTCCAAAATAAACTGTGTGACAGTTTCACTCAGCTCTTCGACCTCCTTCGTGTGGCCCAGTAGGAACACTGTGCTGTCTGAGCCAAACACAACCTGAGCCCTATGCTGCCCTCGGTTCATCTCATTTGTCTTGGACTTAAGCTTTTCCTGAAGCTCAGATGGCACAGCGGAGCAGTTAGGCACATAGATCTTGACTTCCTTGAATTTTTCTTGCAGTTTTTTCTCTGTCTCATCCAGTTTTTCAGCAGAGCGGCTGAACAAATGCAGCTCTGTGTCTCGTAACTCTACTTCCACCTTGTCACCAAACCCTAAAATGTCACTTAGCACCCCTGGACCTCCATATGCCCTCCTGAGGAAGGCCAAAAAATGTGGGCTCATGTCAGAAACTGTCCTTTCTGACACCAAATTTTCTATATCAGAGATCTGGTCTCCGGCCTTAAGAATCTCCTCAACAGAACCTTCCAAAACTAACTGCCCTGCATCTCCCTGTGTGACCTTCACACCTGGAAAATCTCGTCCCAGACTGTGCTCAATCTCTGTCCAAAGGAGACGGAGTTTGGCTGTGCCAAGTCGGCGAATGCTGGTTTGCTTTTCACTTAAACTTGACCCTTGTTTAACCCGTGAGTGCTCTACATCCATCAACCTGGCCTTCACCTGTGAACGTTTCCCAACAACAACAGCCATCCCAACCTCGCTGTACACCTTCACCTCATCTGTGACCTGACGGGAGCTGCAGGACTGAAGCAAAGATTTAACTTTGTGAGGGTCAACCTCATAGTGGCACAGATATCCATCAAAAACTTTGTCTACTTCAGCTTTCCAGTTTCTAACTTCATCTTCTGCACCAGGTTGAGCTAAGCACCTAACTAAAGCCCTCTCATCCTCTGGGTAAAGCTTGGCAGAGCAGGCCACAGAAGAGAGTTCTTTCTCTAGTTCTTTCCCAGCGTTGGGGCTTTCCTTTAGGTAGCGAAGGAGGTAAAGGTCAAGTTGTAGTTCATAGTTTCCACCACTTGGTGGAGGAGTTGAAGCAGGAATGGACTGTGGGCTCTGTTGAAAAGAGAGGTCCAAATAATGTTAATTTTATTTACTTGTCTCGGTTTTTTTCCTAGCAAAATGCATAGAAACCGTTTAAGTGTTAGAACAAAGTCCTTACTATCACACACATCAATATTAGCATACAATATTTAAGATGCAGTATACATCCTCATTGGTATTAAATAATTACATGAAATTAGGAACAGTAAATGTAAATCAGTGCTTGAATAAACCACCTTAAAAGAGTGTAACTAACCTGTACTGGAGCTGTAAAATCAAGACTTGCAGTGGAGGTGGTGATGGGAGAGGAGGGGGGATCCAGGCTGCCTCGTACAGTGAATACCAGACAACCATCAGCAAGCTCCACGACATGCTTGTATCTCTGCAGGACTGCCTGCTGATCTAAGACAGAAAAAGTGACATTAGTTATTTTGAGGTTTAAATAAGAGAATTGCTGCTCTTTGATATTAACCACAAACCATTTATTAGATGAGACCTTTTCTCTCTTTGCTGTAACTTATGGTTCGCAAAGGATAAAACAAAAGGCAACATTTGGTTCATTCTATCTTCCGTATTTATCTTTTCATTTCCCTCCCTTTATTTATGCCAGTTATTTAACAATTTTACTGTTTGTGCCTCAACCTCTCTCACACACAGTGCAGCATACTACATGAGTCACAATGTTGTTTATGGACAACAACCAACTGTGGAAAAACTACACTAGTGCAGTGAAACAATCGAATTTCACTTTTCATTACAGTAGATTATTAATGCAATATTCCTTATATCTTCAGTGTAGCTTAGCCTATATATTTCTCACTTTAACTAATCGAGTTAAAAACTTATCTGTGACACCACTGATTTAGGTTTCATTTTCTAGGGAAAGTGAAACTTAAGGAGTTCGCTGACAATATATATATTTTTTTGAATACGGGATCATTGACCCAATACTTAGCATAGGGCAACACGTCGACAGTCATATATTTTTCTATAGGCGAATAAAATCAAACAGCCTAAATCAATGTAGAGCCTATCGTTTTTTATAGCCTAGGTCAAACATAAGAAACGGCCTACGGCTTTTATCGACATACAAGACAATTCACAACGGCAATAAAATAATAGGCTCTTAACATGAACTGCTGAGTCTTATACCTTTCTCATATTTGAAAGCAACGCTGTAGCCTTGATCATTCACACGCCTCAATGGTCCGCAGTCTCCGCCGCCTGATCGCCGGCGAATCTGGAAATAAGTCTCTATTTTTTTTATCTGCTCTCCAGGCAGGTTGTGACACGCGAAGAAAACGGGATAGTGGTACATATCGTCCATCGTTTAGCTCGTATGGCGAGAAAAACGGCCTAAAGCAAAACATCTGCAGTGTTTGTCGAGCACTGTAGTGTGTTTACAGTGTTGCCCGTCTGATTTTGCTTGGAAACAGCGCGCAGATAAAAACCGGACTAACAGGGAGGACTACGGTAATGCAAGACCTTGATCAAGTCAACCGCCGCCTGATTTCTGTTGCGCCTTAAAGCGGTGTTATTATGGTAAGGACGGGTGCGAGTAGGCGGAAGGTCCTGATTAAATGAACACAAATACATACCACAGTAATATAATAACATTACTAATAATAACAGTAAAGATAATAGTAGTTTTAATAATAATGTAATTTATTGTTGTTTGTTATTAATGCAAAATATACCTTTTCTTTGTTATTTTGTGAACATAATTTATATGAACTTTGAATTTTCACCAACATAATTCCTAAGCAGTTAAGTTAGATCAGTGTTATCATGGCTTCTCCTTCCTAGTGTCCTTTACTATTACTGGTACAAATATAATGTTTTATTCTAGGCCGCCTACCACCTATGAGATATTGCACTCTAAAATCCCTCTAACAGTGATTTAATAGCATATTAACTGCCATTTCTATGTAAAATCACATGCTGAGCACCCCCATATCACCAGAATGGCATGATCCTGGTTTCACTCCACCCATCAAAGCATCGAATCTTCGACTACTTGGGGTCAGCCCTACATATATCGTAACGTTTTACTGTACCAACTGGGAGAAATTGTACTTGTGGCTGTTCCACCAGTGTATGAATGTGTGTGAATAGTGAATGCGATGTAGTGTAAAAGCACTTTGAGATATCGAAAAGACTAGAAAGGCTCTATACAAATACGGAGCATTTACATCTAAAATCTCATGATATATGTACCAGTAATAGTAAATAACACTAGGAAGCAGATGATATGAAATAGGTGTCAGCTATTAAGGAACTGTTTTGGTCAAAGGTCAAAGTTCACAGAAATGTTAACTGTCTGTTTAATTTTCACTGTGGGAGGGATTTTAGAGTGCAATATCTCATAGGTGGTAGGCCTACAATAAAACATTGTGATATTTGTACCAGTGATAGTAGAGGACACTATGGAGAAGCCATGACAACGCTAATCTAACTGCTTAGGAATTACGCTGGTGATTTGCATTAATAACAAACAAATACTACTATTGTTATTAGTAATATTATATTTCTGTTGTTTGTATTTGTGTTCATATAATCACTAAGACCATCACAAAAAAACGCATATGTATCTTTCAGGACCTTTGGGTTACTCGCACCCGCCCCATCCTTACCATAATAACACCGCTTTAGGCGCAACAGAAATCAGACGGCGGCTGGCTTGGAGGTGCCCTGCCGAGAAAACCACATCATTGTAATGTACTTGTCATATGCTCTTGCAGCAAACATTAAAGTATACTGATACTACTCCAAAAGATATCATACACAATTTAAGAAAATATAAAATTGTGTTTTGTTGACCCCCATCACGCCCCCCTCTCGCATTTCCTGTTTGTCTTTGCTGTCAATAAAAGAAATGCAAAAAATAAATAAATAAACGATTAAATAAAAATAGGCTACTTGGAACCTTTTAAAAACCTTTTCTTTACTTTTGCCCTAAAATGCAAGTGGAAACGTAACTGACGTGGTATCCTGTCCCTGTCAAATGGACATACAAATTAGATGAAGGTGACAAAATACAGACAGCATTGTTATTCCACCAAAGAAGGAAATATTCATCTTTTATGTGTTGCTGTATATGGCGTTGTGCATGAACAAATGTTTGCCAATAAGTCAGACACATGGAAATGTATAGTAGGGAAGATCGGGGTATGTTGTCACACTTTTCACAGTCTAACATTTTCTGGACACCATCGAGTATAATTGTAGAAATACCATACCAAACGAAAGAAGGAAGTCTTGGGCATATATGTTGTTTGTTTTCATTACATCTTCATATCTTATCTCAGTATGGAGCGGTAGACTGTTGAATAGGGAGTGTGCACTTGTGACATTTTGCCCCATTGGCAGGTAATTGTCACACTGGATCGTCAAAAACTAAGAACACAATTACTGTCAATTTCTAAGGGTTGGAGCCGATGTGAGCAGTGGGGTGGACCGCATTTATGCAATTTTCTTTGGCCTAATTCAGTCCATCAATGCACAGATAAGGCTTGTGGTTGTCCAAAAGAAGTAAACAAGGCTTCTCATTTGAGCACTTTGCATGTTCATTGAAATGTTCCAGGAAATCAACAAAATGCACATCTTTCATCCATTCAAAGGTGTTCCATCCTCTCTGCTGCCAGGTGGCCCCTTGATGAGGAACTGATTGCGAAAGTTTCCCACATAAGCACAAACTTCAGCTGCTGTGCCATAGCCAACTGCTCGGTGAATCTTCTGACCTCACCTGGCAACAGACCAAAATGAATGTCACATCCAGGTGAAACAATCTCCTGTGGCTTTGTATAACCAACACTTGTTGTCAGCATAGCTGTCTGACTTATTATTTGGTAATCTTTTAACAGTACAGAGTCAGAATACAGTAATAGCGGTAGTACGGTAATGTCAAAATTCTTCACTGTCCTTTTTGATTTGTTCAGCAACTTCACCTGGCTGGTTGGCTGTAACATTATATAGGTGGCGTGCAGCCATGTAACCATCTTCCTTCCTTACATCCCGCCTTTAAAAACACATTTCCTCATTACAAACAGGCTTATTACATGGTCTTCTATCCTTTATGCCACAATGCAATTCATAACACCACACTAAATTACTGACTGTGTGAAGAATAGCATTTCAGCTAACAACTTGCCCCGAACTGACATGTGTGCTAATGTCGGCTAAATTTCAAGGTTAGCTCAACATAGCATTTCAGCTAAAGTAGCCTATTAAAAGACATCGTTAAAAGTTATCGTCTACTCTTCTTTGTGCAAAATTATAATTTTAAACATTAATATCTAAAAGAGTTGTATTGGATAAAATAAAAGGGCAAATTTACTTTTTAAGCAGGGGAAAAAAATCTATTTCTTGTATAATATATAAGACCAGTCTCCAAAATAAAATATGTGCTCTCATGGTAGGCTATTAAAAGCCAAAAGCTTAAAAGCAAATAAAACATATGGGGTGAAGTAGGTACTATCAAGCATGGTAAATTCAAGATTAAATTCAAACAGTCCATTAAATCATCATGTTTGGCTTTAGCTGTCTTTAAGCAGCTCCTCGAGTTGGGAACAAACAGGTTGGATATAGTATCACGCTCAGAGCTATGATCTGTTATGCCAAACCTCCCATAACACTGAGCTCTACAGGGGAGGGGTTATTTATAGCATGATATTCCTGTCTCTTACCCTCTCTACTCACCATCTTGCTAGTATAACATTTCCCTTCTAACTTTTATACCCATTTTGCCTGTCCTATCGCCACTAAAATGCTGCTTTCTTTTCATTAGCAACTTTTAAACTCTAGGTGACAGTAGGCTGCATACAATAACACAGCATTCAACAAAACGTTACATTTACATTTTACATTTAGGGCTTTTAGCAGATGCTGTTGTCCAAAGCAACGTTCAATAAGTAGGCCTACATTTGTCTAAGAAAGTGAAAAGATCATTTTGTCCCCATATACCACTGCAACATACAAGAGATGTTTAGGTGATGAAAAGAAATCTGTCATTGTCCAGAAGTTTTATAAAGTATTATTAACTGCAGTGAAGCCTTTCCTTGAAAAATTATGTTTTCTATTCTTAGAATGTGTCAAAATCAGTCCAAAATAATATAAAATGAGCAACTACTTCAGTCCATGTGGTATTTATTTTACATCGAAGTAAATGTATTAATAGAGAAAATGTCCTTGTGTGTCAATACTAATGTTTGTGGAACCACGCCTGGCTGTTTGACTTGTGACTAATGCTACAGGTGTGTCCTTGCACCTGGGTAGTAACTCCTAGGAGATAGTGGAAATAGCCTGCGTGGTTGCAGGTGCCCTCTATTGTCTAGTGTGTTCAAACACATTCTTTAGGTGATCTACAATTTTGTTCACCGCATCAATGAATTTTGAGTAACAAACAGCACAACAAACTACAGCCTCCAAACTCACCATACAGTTGAATCAACATGTTTATGAATATTGGATTTATTTATTTTATACTGTGGTCTGAATGTCTAATAAGAATTAGTATACCCTAATTAATGGCCTAAAATTGTCTCACACCACAACAGTATTTTCTATTTTCTGCCTAGAAATGTTCTGCTAAAAACCTGCTGAAAATCTACAGAAAAAATGGCACAAAAACTCAGCAAACAGAAATAAACACTGAGAAAGTTTAAAGGTTAAGTGTATAAGTTTTAGTGACATCTAGTGGTGTTGCGAATTACAAGAATTTCAATACATACTTGTTCATTAATAAACAACAGCCACATGAATAAATGAAGTGCTACATGATGTCTCATACTCCTGTAATACAGTATTTTACAACTTGGGAGGGTTGGCTCATTTGGACTAACATAGCAAAGGAAATGATAAACATCTCAAAAACTATCAGATCTAGTGCATCAAGTATGACCACAGACAGATACCAGGACAACATAAGCCTCACTGTTTCTGCACCACAGTCCATTACAAACCACATTGGTCACTTGATAGACACACGGTCTTGTTATATATCACCATTAGCAGTAAAAAGAAATACATGTCTTCCACCAGGGCAGTAAGATGTGAAGTTGTGCTGATCTGAGCTTCCCTGCTGTTACCGTTTCATTACCAATAATATTCATCAGCTGTTTGTGTCAGGAAGGTAATGGCACATTTTGGCCCACGTAACAAAGCCATAACAGAGCACTGGAGAAGAACTACATGAAATTACAACCCAAATACATGTTTTTTCTACTAGGGCAGTAAAGGTTCAGCTGGCTGATCTGAGCTCCGATGCTGTAAGCTGCCGTTTTATTGCCAATTAGCGATCAGCTGATTGTCTTGCCCACAGGCTGGAGAATAAGTAGGCGACATGAAATTAACCCAACTACATATTTTACACCACTGACAGTGGAAACACATCATGGCTCTCAGTGATTTGGCCAGCTTCAGGTTAAAACTATCAAACAATAGCTTTCATTTGCACCGCTAAAGTCTGATAAACTTTAGTTAATTACCCTTCCAACAGAAAACAGGCAACTTAAGCACCACTTTGAACCACTGCAATCTGGGTACACCTCTGTTTTTACAAAGAAAAACATCAAGATTTCTCAACACAATGTGGGATGAGTTACTCAAACCTGATGATATTATGAATAAATACTGTTTGATTTTATGGATGTTCTGGATGTTGATATCCCAGCAAGTGGGTGGTCTTTTTGACAAAAATTAACATGAGCGAGTGTGGTAGCACAAACATCTGGACCCTGTAATGTCTCAGCGGCCCCATTTCCCTTTACATACATCATTTGTCAATACAGCCTGAATCAAGGTACAATCTTTATACCATACACAACAAACATAGTCTCAGTATCTAAACTGAAAACACCATTAGAGCCTGATGTCACTCAAACTGATTGACTGGTCTTTATACAGGGAGTAATGTTGATAAATACTCTGCCTGAAGTTATTAAAGTTTTCTTATGCTCCTGGAGGTTCAATTGCATCAGCAATGTTTCTAAAAACAATAGCAAGACTGATTAAACCACTTTATGAGTGCCCTGATATCAAAACCTGGACAAGGCATCTTCAGTTTCATGTTCACTAGTGTCACTGTGTATTTTTTATTCTACCAGATACACCTCTCGTCTGTCTGACAGTAGACCTCCATCAGCTTGTTGTGCTTCATACGCATCTTTTCCTGCATTGGTATTGTTGCAGAGACCAGCTGGTGCATCTTCAACACAGGAACACTGTAGTGAGGCTCCAGGTGAGCCGGGCAGTAAGATACCAAATAGGTCAGGCAAGACATCGTGGCTTTGTTTCGGTGGCCCCACTGCAGAAATCACAGACAACATCTGCCAGGCCGGCACAAACCACAGCAGCAGGGGGACAAGTTTGCTGGGTGCTTGAAGTCTTTAGCATCTCAACAACCTAGGGATTATAAAAGGAAGGTGTTGAGAAATAATGTAGCTTTCATCAGTGGTTCTCAAAGTGGGGTCACAGTTGAAATGGCCTTACGAGCCATAATGTTCTTACTGAGACATGAACCCATTTACCACTTTCCCCGACATCACCTCAGCCAGCATGTTGTTCCTCCTCAGAGCAGGCCTGGGACTGAAGGTCTCCCTGCACTGAGAGCAGCTACAGTACTTTCCTTCCACATCCCTCGATGCAGCTTGTGTCCACAGTGAATGGCGACTGGCTCTCTTAGCAGGTCCAGACATACCGAACAACAGAAATTAATCTGGTTCAACCCCGCTTTGCACTCCTGCTGCAATTAAATATGACTTGACTTGGTCTTGATATTCTGTGTTGTCAGTGATTTGGCCAATATGTCAGTAGGGTGATGGCTGCAAATTTCATAGCTGTTAAGAGTGGTGACTAAGAGGGAATGCACAGAATTTATTTATTTTTATGTGAACAGTCATATTCAGTCATATAACTGAAATGGCACAACAAAACAGAGACTGGAAAGCATGAATAAGCACACAGCTGTTTACTTGTTGATACCAATGTCAAAACTCTTCAATAAAGAGTAAACTAATACAATAAAAACATTATTCAGCATCCCAAAGTCAGGCAAAGTGTCAAATAATAGTTTCACAATACTAATAATTTCCTTTACATGACAATATCCAATTAATAACAAATGTATTCAACCTCTCTGTAGAATAAAATTTTCATCTTCTATAAAAAATATTCTATATTAAAAATATATGTCCTCATCAATAATTTTGTGCATACTGTGGTAAAACATTAATCATACTGATACTCAAAATTATTAGGAAGTAACTCAAGCTTCATTGAATCAAGTAGGCTATTGTTCTCTAATCCACATGATTTATACGTTTTAATTAGGCAGTGTTGACAATCATTTATTCTATTTTTATTTTTGACCTGACCTACACTGGTTCCAGACAGCCTCCGCTGCCTTCTGAATGGCTTCACCTGGAGTTTCTGCTCCTTCAGCTGCATTATATCCTGTTAGAACGCCCTTTACTGCGCCATGTTGAGCGGCCGATGCAACTGTTGCTCTTCCTCTTTCTGTTGTTACTAGTGCTGAAACATCTGAAGGGTTTTGAAAGTTGCCAACAGTTGATGCAACCATCTCTGCCACACCAAGCAAAGCTCCCAGCAATGCACCTGTTGCAATACCTGCTGATCTGATCAATAACCTTTCATATACATTAATTATAGCCTTATTTCTAATTTCTTGCTGTGACATGTTTCCTGATGACAGTCTAATGCACTGTTCTACTCTCTGTCTTTCTCCTTTCACTACTTGTAGCATCTCATTGGTGTAGCAGCTTCCTTTGTTTACCTTCGTCATCTTGTCTATTGTGTTGAGCATCTCAGCCACCTGGAACTTATTGCTCCTGTAGTTTTCCTCTTCAGTTTTCTTCCAGTATTTATTATCAATGACGTGGCACCGGCCTCCACACCTCTTCACCAGATCACTCAGATTCTTATTCTGATTGACAAACTCTTCAATTTTCATCCCTTTAGGGAGCTGGTCACCATGAGTGAAGACAATGGCAGCATATTTTAGAGCCTCTTCAGAGAAATATTGACATATTTTGTTGATGACAGCCTGCTCCTGCTCTGTGAATTTCTCCACTTTCAGCACAATGAGAAAAGCATGAGGCCCAGGAGCGCACTCTGTGATACACCTCACTATCTCAGGCTTCATGTCGTCCTCAGACCTTTCTGCATCAAGGAAACCAGGAGTGTCGATCACAGTGATGCTTCTTCCATTGACAGATTTGGTTTCTGCTTGACATGTTCTTGTTCCAGAGTTGGGTGAATTGTTTGTGGTGAATAATTTCTCTCCAAATATGGTGTTAGCTAGGCTGCTTTTCCCACATCCAGATTTTCCCAGCACGATGATCCTCTTTGACTCTAAAAAAGAATGACTCTGTTAAGTACATTTTCTCTTGCATGTTTGCTTTCTTCAGCTGTTAGCTTTTAAGACAAGTTTCCTCATACTTTTTGTATAAACAGTAACGAGTACATGGTGTACAATTTGGCTCAAAGAAGCACTCCTTAATGAAAGCATTAGCATGCAAATTTATACTCTCATGACGTTAGTTCAACAGGGGAAATGTCAGTGACTAATATGGGTGGAACAAACAGAAACAAACTAGTTCAAGTAAAGAAAGTTTCTGTTATTCACCCAAGGAACAAATACTTTTTTGATGCTGGGAGACAATTTACACAAGTGTCAATAAGTAACTTACAAAACACGAGAAATGAGTGCAAAGGATTGAATTCCAAATATTTGCTGTCATATAAAATCTATACCCACCATGGTCGGGTTGTAAAGTTTCCCGGACAGACTTGAAGACCTGTGGGGACAAGGAAGTATTGGGTTTATAACAATTCCATTCCTCATTTAGTGCACAAAATATGTTAGCTGATTGCTCACCAGTTTTAAAATGCAACTGATTATACTGTTTAATTACTTCAACACTATTCAACCATGAGATTTACATGTAATAATTTATAAATTGTGTTATTTGTGAGTGCTGGTATCAAGACACACTAAATGGGTCACTCTCATTATCATTAGGATCATTGTTTGGCCTCTATGAATTTGTGTCTGTGCACAATGCATTTTCATTACTTCAAAAGACTCTTCATCATTGGGGTGGATGGCGATGCGGACCATGAATGGTGTTCTGCCGGCTCGGTTCTGTTCAAACTCATGGACCTCCTCCAGTAGAACCCTGGCTACCACGTTGTCAGGAAAACGCAGAGCAATCCCAGCCCCAAGTACGGGGAACGCAACAGATCCAAACCCTCTGTTCTCACAAGAAGTTAGGATTTTGTTGATGCACAGTCTCAGAACCTGGAAAGAATTTAGTGATTTTTAAGATTAGGAAACACATTAGTATGGTGTAGAGGACTGGGAAACAGCTTCTGACTCAGTATTCACAAACAAACACAACAAGTTGAGACACTCCTCCTCTATTTTACCTGGACTGCAGCCCCATCGTCGTCATCATCCCAGGGAACAAGGCTGGGGAAGAACACTGCATTAGATGGAAGTCCAGGCAAACCCTCTACCAGGACTGTGTCACCAGGCATCATTTCTTCTTCTGCTTCCTTTCTAAACATTGCTGTCAGCTGGGGTCCAACTATTTTGAACAAGGTGTTTCCAACACGGGTAGAGAGAGGATTATGGCCAACCATGGGCGATACCAGAGCATCCACCTGGGAGGAGAGCAGGTGATGTGATGGTGGTTAAACACTGCACAGTTTATATCAACTTCAATTTCATGTAAATGTCTAGGTTTCTCATAAATATACATCTCTATTTTATATGTTTGCTATGCGTTTGCTTATTATCAACTGACACCCACAGCAGTAGTAGACTTAATAATGACATCCATGTCTCCTGATAATCTGGTAATTTAAAACAGATTTCAGAAATGGACACCAGACATAAATAGTTATCAAGACTCAACAGTTTAAGCCACTTTGGGACAGCAGAGAAGTATTATCAAGTTTATATGGCAAATTTGTTAGCAAGCACTTGCTTATTTCCACAGGCACCAGATATAGAGCAACATAAGTATTTACTGGAAGTCTAAATTAATGAAAGTCCAAAACTCAATCTTCTGTAAAAGCAGTGCGTTAGCAGAGCAGCAGCTGCAGCTTCAATGCTCCGTCTGTGTCTACACGGGATGGATTCAGACACAGCGCAGAGTGGGTCACCTGCGTTTTAGCAGAACTCAGTGCTCCTCCAAAATAATCACTGAGACAACATAAACATCCCAAGCATAGACAGCTTTGATATATTTTTCTAAAATCTCAGCAAGGTTTCTCACCTGCTGGGTCTCGATGGTTCCCCGAACGATCTCCACATCGACATCAACTCCAGGAGCTCCAGCAGTGGCTCCTGTTGCAGTGTTTTGGGCAGCACCTCTGATCACTATCATGTCACCTTTAGGATTTGTTCGAGTCTGCTTTACTATAGCACTGCTCTCCTTGGCCCCTGGCTTTACTGCAGCAGCAACACCTCCAGAGTTGGGACGATGGACCTAAAATTGAAACACAAAAATGTAACATTTTATTTTAATTAGGATAAACAATTATTTATATAATAAACAATTATTTTGTTTTTGTCTTTTTTTTGTGTTGTTGTTTTTTGCCTTCATAGTTCAGTGACAAGGATTGTACTGTAAATATTAACTATATCAACTTTTAAAGTTGGAATATTTCTTTAGATTCACAAAATTCAACAATCAAATTTTTTTTATTTTAAAACTAATTATGCAATGTTGACGAAATGTAAAAGGCAGAACTCAGATGTTCAGTGCCGGACAGTCGAAGGCATGACCACTGCTACTAAAATTTCACACGATCATTGATATCAATGTGCAACTAATGATTTTCACTCACACATTGTGTGAGCATTGTAACACTCAACGCATGGCTAGCTTCCTCTCCTCATTCTTCAAAGGACATCTATGCGACAGGTGTTATAAGAGCAGTGAAGTTGGGTATTTTAAGGGCAGTTTAATGTGTGTGTGTGTGTGTGTGTAGCAAGTGTGTAGGTTAGCAAATGTGAGAGAGCGAATGGTAGAAAGTCATGGTGAAAGTGAGCGTAGCAGAGAAAAGGATTAACATATGTTGCCAATCTGACAGTAAATGTACAATGTAGGTTACAGTTGGTCCGTTTATGAAAGTTCGTCTGTTGATGGAAATTAAAAACGGTGCCCAGTGCTTCAGACTCCAGTCTGGAAGATGAGTAGGACTGGATTGGGTGGAGTCACGTCACTACCACATAGTCACACTAACAGTTCAGAGTTTTAATACAATGGTATAGTGCTAAACATTGACAAACAGGCTATATTTTGTTATAAAGCTAGTCAAACAAAATAAAATAACTAAATGATTTAGAACCTATTAGTTTTGTTAGTAGTTAAAGCACAGGGTATGGCTTTAACCAACATTGTAATACACAATATAAAATAATAAAACATAAGCTGTTGAGTATTATGACCTACCTTTATGATATTTGAAAGCAACTCTGTAGACTTTCTTGTGGAAAGATGAAGAAAGGAAAATATCTGCAGTGTTTGACAAGTGTAGTGTGTTGACAGCGTTGTCCTTCTGATCCTGCTAGAAGAACGGCGCCTTACTGATGACAGAGCAGAGATAAACCGGACTAACAGGGAGGTGGTATGTAGTCTTTTGTTACTGTTAACTCAGACATACATATGTTATGACTTAGCAGCAAACATTAAAGTATACACTAAAAGTATGACTACTCCAAGTAATAAAAGATGATGACTCTCAATTTAAGAAAAAAATATTGTGTTAATGTTTTGATGACATTTGCGTTATTTCCTCATTGTGTCCCACAAAACAATATTGTTTGCCAAATGTCATTAAAAAACATAGTAATGTACAGTATGTTGTGATGTTGCTTGCGTTTGGGCTCCTTTAGATCCTAGAGAGGTATAAACACTCGTAAAAGTAACGGAAGTCCAAATAACGTACTTTGTTTTGTAAAAAGTACTGTTAACAACAATCCCAGATTCAGAGCATATATTCATTGTATTTAACTTTGTTTTATATCTAGGGTCTCGTAGATACCAAATGCTGATTCTTTTCTGGCAATGTCATCGTTTGAAAATATCAAAGTGTAAATACCAAGCGGGATGCTTCCGGTCAGCAAACTCATGCGAACGCGAAGTCCCTTAAACCTGCATTCTATCGGACGGCCAGCAGGGGGCGACTCTTCAAATGAGCAGTGAGGGAGCACAACAGGTGACACAGAACAGGGCGATCAAGCAGACTGAACACAAGACGCAGGCTACAAAACATAAGACAATAATCAAACTGGAACTAGAACGCAAAACACAGAACAGACAAAGCAGACTAAATAACTGATACAGAACAGACCAAATAACCGAGCACAAGATAAGGGACTGGAGTAAAGATCAAAACACAGAGCAGACCAAACTAACCATAACGCAGACAGACATAACACAAGAGCCTAGGGCTGGACAATATGGCCAAAAATGTTATGACGATAAAAAGTTTCATATCTTTCGATATCGATAATTATCATGATAAGTATCAAATTGTTATTTATTTTGAATTTAAAGGCTGATTTTTGGTCCTGAGTGAAAGTTGCAGAAACCTGATGGTTAATTGTTTAAACTCTTCTTTATGGTCAACACTTGATGTCAAACAGTGGATCAAATCTGAGGTAGAACATTCAAAACAATCAACAATTCAAACAAGCTGTCACATGCTACCCTCACATTTTGTGCATATGAACCCTGCCCTTATTTTTACTGATATTTTTGTTATGTGCACAGCAGAGGGCCCCTTCATATTTTAAGTCCGCAGTTTATATATATATACACATACATACATACATACATACATACATACACACACACACACACACACACACACACCTGTACCAAGAAACCCAACCCAAGCTTTCTGAATCACTAAAGGCTTAACTAAAATACTTTTCTTCTACAAGATAAGTAGTTTTGCTAGTCACCATTGCACACTTAAGTCTACGGCATTTTACACTGCATAAATTAACCTAGCGGACTTTTCCACCTCTCACAGCTGAACAAATTAATGTATTATTTATACTATTTTTTACTCACCGCTGCTTAAGTCACTGCATCTCCCGACACAACACCGCAGTTGACATTGCCCTGAGGAACAAACAGACCCTGAGCTACTGACTGCTGTAGATTTCTTTTCACATCCATGCACTGCTTGGACAGAGACAGCCAGACAGCCCAGGGAGGCGTGCATCCTGTTCGCGTTGCCTGTGCACGTCCGTCATTGGTGGAGCAGTCTGTCAATCCCACCTATGCAGTAAACACGACATGTGATTGGGCTGTACTTCAGCAGAGAGCAAAAAACTGGCCAAGAGCAGAATGCCACTGCTTCCATGGATCCGACTTTTGTTTCTCTTCTTCTTTTTTTAGGCCCTCTGTTTCAGGGCTTTATTTTTGCAGTGCGAGTTTCAGAGTTTTGGACCAGAGCTGCGTGACAACGCTGCCTGAAATCACATGAGTCTGTGTGGGCAAAACGAGTGCAAATGTAATGTAATAAAAATTAGCCCTTTCAAACCTTGATTTTTAGAGTTTCAAAATTTTGTTCTCATATTTTAATCCAACTTTTGATACTTTAATAAATACTATGAGTGCACACATTCTATTGCCGAGACCGCAGCATTATATTACAAAAAATGTCTCCTTTTTAACAGGCTGCAAAATGGCTAAATAAATGGTTGTTGTTGTTTTTTCCCCTTATTTTCTGTCAGGAATGCTGAGTTAAGAGTCAGGGAAACTACGTCGTTGAACCCATATGCAGTCACTGACAAGCAGGGTGCGGTTCTAGTGATTTATTTAAAAACTAAACTGCCTTACATGGGTTCTGAAGTCCAAACAAAGGTTGTAGTTCAAAAGCAACATAAGTCCAAAAGTGAGCAGGGTATCCAAAAACCAAGAAAATAGAGAATGGGCATACAACGAGGACGCCACAAGGACTGAACAGAACTGAAGGCTTAAAAAGTGACACAGAATAACACGTACCTGGCAGGCAGGGTAATCAGGCACAGCTGAGACACATCAATCACAATCATGGCAGTACTCCAGAAATCACAGAACCCACCAGAAAACCGATATCACAACATTATAGCAGGCCAAAGCAAGACTGAAACAGGAAACCAATAGCTAAATACCAACAGTTTCTGGATTTACAAATAAATATTATACATGATTAAAAACTGCTGAATGTTTTAGACAATGCAAGGGACATGGCCTTTTGTAAGTGACTGGAGAGGTGGCATGCCTGAACCATGCGATATCTCTGGGCTTGGTGTCATTCAACGAGTCAGCCAGTTAGAAGTGAGAACTTTAAGTCCCCTAACTGCTAAGGAAGTACCTAGGAATTTATCTAGATAGTAAACTTTGTTTCTGTGTTAAATGTTTTCAAGAAATGCATGCAACGTAAACACAAAATACAACTTAACTCTATTCTGTTTATGTCCTTGGGGACCCCAGGCCCTCTTCCTCATAAAACACGCCTAACACTGTTTAATCAACTTGTTACATCTTTTTACGTCAGCTTTAGACTTCAGCTGTGAAGCATGGTTAAATACAATTAATTTTCATACCCTGTGTATCTGGGATTATTGTTGACAGTTTTACAAAACAAAATACCAAGGTACTGTATTTGGATTTCTGATACATTTATGGGTGTTTGTAGCCTACCTCCTTGGGGCGTAATAGAGCCCAAACACAACATCATGGCCAGCGGTAGGGTTTGTTGGACACAACAATGAGGAAGTAACGCAAATGTCACAACAAAATGTAAAATTATCTTAATTAATTCATCTGTATCATCTTGTATTACTTTGAGTAGGCTAGTCTACTGTAAGTGTATGTTTTAATGTTTGCTGCTAGGCCACATGACAATTAGAATAGCCTACAATAATTTGGTTTTCTCTTCTATTTTATGGTAAACAGTTAAGAAATTCTGCATGGTCACTTCCTGTTAGTATTGTTTTTCTTTGCTCTATCAACAGTAGGGCGCAGTTCGTTTAGCAGGATCAGTCTGACGACACTGTAACACACTGAGCTTATCAAACCCCTTCAGATGTTTTGCTTTATTCATCTCTCCACAAGAGCTAAATGATGGATGATATTTACCAATATCCCGTTTTCTTTGAATGTCCCAGTCTGCCCAGGGAGCAGATTAAGAAAATACAAAGGTATTTTTCTATTCACCGCTATTCAAAAGGAGGCGACTGTGGACCACTGAGGCGTGTGAATGATGAAGTCTGCATTGCTTTTAAATCTCAGAAAGGTAGGTCAGTGACTCAACAGCTCATGTTTTATTATTCTATATTGTGAACTATTTTGTATTGGTTAAAGCCGTGTCTTATTTCCGAACTATTACAAAACAATAGGTTCTACATTGATTTAGCCCTATGACGCTATATTAAACCATTGAACGGTGAATGATCCCACGTAGCCAATTTACCAGGAATGTTGTCATTTAAACTTAAACTTACATCAGTCGTGACAGAGAAAGTTTTCAAGCCACCAGATTTCTTGAACAGGCTATGAGAAATATAAGTAGGCTAGAGGTGACCCTGCTATGAACTATAAATGTTAGACCCTATAAGGAATAGCTTATAGTGCACAATAATCTACTGCAAAAGAAAAGTTAAATTCCACTAGCTGACTGGATGTAAGCCTACAGCAAGAAATATCAGTTATTGTCAGCGGTGGAAGAGTCATTATTTTACATAAGTCAAAGAAACAAAAATACTGTTACGAGTAAAATTCTGTTACATTCAATAATTAACATAGGCTACTTGTTTGGCAGAATTGTCCCTTTCACAGAGTTATATATTCTCATACTAGCTGTTAGATAGGCAAAATGTGGTGGAATAAAAAGTACTAGATTCCCCTCTGAAACATAATGGAATCTAAGTATAAAGTATTTGTAAATGTACTTAATTACTTTCCACCGCTGGCTGTTGTTGCATAAAAAATGACATTATGACTCATGTTGAAGTGGTGCACTTTGTTTGAGAGAGGCTGAGCCACAAAACAGTATTGTTCACTTTAGCCCACTGGCATTATTAAATTGAGGGGGATGAGGAGATAAATAAAGAGGACAACCAAACCGAATGTTGCCCAGTGTTTTATCCTGGGCCCTTGATTATTTTCCAACAATAAATGACAGTCTCATCGAATAGCAGCTATTCCTTACTTTAAACTCAACACAATAACTAATGTCACTTTGTCTGTCTTAGATCAGCAGGCAGTCCTGCAGAGATATGAGCATGTTGTGGAGCTTGCAGATGGTTGTCTGGTATTCACTGTACGAGGCAGCCTGGATCCCCCCTCCTCTCCCATCACCACCTCCACCGCAAGTCATGATTTTACAGCTCCAGTACAGGTTAGCACAAACTTTATATTTACAGTTGAGCATTTCATGTAATTATACAACACTGTACACTGAATCATAAACACTCTTTTCAACACAGAGCCCACAGTCCATTCCTGCTCTAACTCCAGCACAAAGTGGTGACGACCATGAACTAAATCTTGATACTTTCCTCCTTCAGTACCTAAAGGAATGTCCCGAGGCTTGGAAAAAACAAGAGAAAGAACTCTCCTCTGTGGTCTGCTCTGCCCAGCTTTACCCAGAGAAAGGGACGACATTAGGGAAGTGCTTAGCTCAACCTGGTGCAGAAGATGAAGTTAGAAATTGGAGAACTGAGGCAGACCCTCACAAAGTTGCTGGTGTTGCTGTTGGGGAAAGTGCTCAGGTGAAAGCCAGGTTGATAGATGCAGTGGACAGGTCAGGTCAGAAGGAATGTAGTGCTATAGTAAAGCAGACAAAATGAGGAAAATTCCTACTGGTGACAAGGCAGAGATCACAGATGCTGCTCAAAACACTGCTGTTGGAGCTCCCGGAGATGGTGTCTCTGTGGAGAACATTCAGGGAACCATTGAGACCCAGCAGGTGAGAAACCTCTGAGATTTTACGAAAATATATCAAACCTGTTCGGACTAGAAATTTTAATAATTGTCTCAGTGATTATATTGAGGATAAGAACAACCTTTGGCAGAACGACTCATGTGTTGGATATACTTACACTAGTGCTTATCCATGTGACAGGCATTGTGTTATAAATGGCTTTGCTTACATTGATGATGTGCTGACAGTTTAACATCTCAGCTACGGTCCAATCAGTGTATTGACCAGCCTGGCTCAATTAAGGCTTGTCTACACAGGAGACATTTCAGTCACATTTTTCAGTCACCTGTCTCACGTGCATCTGAGAAATCTGAGGTTGCAATCACGTAAAAGGCTTTGTGTGTCTTGGCATAAGACGATAGGTTGTGTAACTGTGTTACTGCAACCTGTACAAGCTCATGTGGTAGATCTTCTGTGGAAGATTCCCAGGGATATTTGAAGACCACCATGTCTTGTTTTGTTGTGTGTTTTTCTGTGCTATACATGTTGATTTTGTCTGGTAGCACCCCACTGGGAAGTTTCGTTTCCCATTATTTATATAAGTTATTTTTATTTTATTTAGTATTTTTATGAAGTCCAGTAACACAGTTGATGAATGTAAAGTTCACAACCGGTTCCTGTATGATAAGGTTGGAGCTATTGCTTGCCAACGTATTAGGGCTGTCCCCGACTAAGGATTTACATAGTCGAATCAGAATCGTCAAGTCCTGTCTAGTCGACTGATAGTCGAATCATGTGTGTTTTTGTGCACGGCGATTGCGAGACGAAGGTAAACTGAAGCTTATTGTTGCCCATTCTCTCTCTTGCCCCTGCCATTCACCGGTCTTGTGCAGAGTTTTTGCCGTGCTACTATTTCAAGTAGTATTTTAAAAACGCCCATCGAAGCATTGGATCTTCGACTTTTTGGGGTCACCCCTACAACGTATTAAAGATTTGCATATTTTCCTGGTGTTAGCGCCTGCTGTCTGAGTGCAGAGACAATAGCTCATTCCAACTAAAAGCAAAGCCGACACCTGCTGTTGAATGTAAAGTAAATTGTTGGGGGCTTTATGATAGATTGTGGTATATTGTATTTAGCCGCAGCAAACCAGGATCTTGTAAAACTTGCTCTGTGTGCCTTGCTTCTCCCCCTTCCTGTTTACTAACCCCACACATACAGACATCACATGACATCTGCAGCTAGCCTGACCTGTGACCACCGTCTCCATTTTTGTAGTTTAGGATATAAAGAGAGTGTCCGCCATTTTGATTATGAAGTTTAATGGTTCTGAATAGCCCTCTTGATTTTAAAATCCGCTGGCCTTGAGTTGCCATTTTTAATCGGATACCCATGTGGGTGAACAATTTGTAGGGGTTTCACCGTACAAGCTGGAAGACTCACTAGGAATGCATTGCAGTTTTTGAGGTGAGCGATAACGTCCTGTACCAGAAGCTGGGTGGCATACTGAGTGAGGTAGGGCCTGATTTTTCTTATGTTGTGTAGAGCAAAGCGGCATGACCGAGAGACAGCAGCAACATGGTCTGAAAAGGACAGCTGGTCATCAATCATTACACCCAAGTTTCTCACCACCCTGGTTGGAGTGATGGTAGAGGAGTCAATTTAAAGTTTTGATGTTATGGTGGATAGATTGCTTGGCTGGAATGACCAAGAGTTCAGTCTTAGAGAGGTTTAGTTGAAGGTGGCAAACTTTCATCAATGGAGATATGTTCAAGAGACAGTCCATGATCCGCGTCGAGACGGTGGGGTCGTCTGGCAGGAAGGATTGGTAGAATTGTATATTGTCTGTGTAGCAGCGGTAAGAGAAGCCATGCCAGTGAATGATTGGACCCAGTGAGGTGGCATAAACTGAGAAGGGGCCCTAGCAGCGGATAGCAGGATCCTGTGATTGACTGTGTCAAAGGCATCTGATATGTAAGCAGAATAAGAACCAAGGATCGGGCTGCAGCTTTAGCTGACGTTAGTGCTTCTGTCACAGACCAGAGCCATTTAAGTGGAGTGGCAACTCTTAAAACTTAACTGATATGATCTAGGAGGTCATTCTGTGAGAGGAATCCTGAAACCTGTTTGACTTCGATAGCTCTGGTAAGAAATGGTAGAAGTGAAATGGCCGATATTCTCAAATTGAGTAGGGTTGAGGGAGGGCTTTTTGAGCTCTGTCAGAATTTTAAGAAGTCGTTGCCTGTGATTTTTTTGTGTATGTTATAGTAAGAGTTGGTTACCATGGCCAGTGTATGAATTCTCTCTTCACTGTACCTCCCTATTTATGTAATAGACTAGTCTGACTATTGCCATCTGTAGATGGACAAGCTTTTAGACCAGTGGTCACCAACTGGCAGACTTTGATTGTTTTCATCTGGATCGCAAAGTTTTTTTGACACATTTTGGGTGTCTTGATACTTGCACTGAAAAATAACCAAAAAAATATTATCTATTCAAAATGATTAAATGTAAATCTCATGGTTTATTATCGATTACATGATTAACCAGTATAATAAGTTTTATTTTAAATCCCTGAGCAACAAACATCAGCTTACCCATGTTGTGCACAAGATGAGCACAGGAACTGGTATAAACCAAATACTTCCTCGTCTCTGCAGGTCCTCATGTCTGTCCAGGAAACTTTACAGTTCAAACGATTCACAGAAGATGTTCATCAAGCAGACCATGGTGGGTATAGACATTATCTGACAGTAAATAATTAAAATTCAGTTGTTGTGTTTTTGCGTTTGTTACTTATTTAAACGTATGTTATTGATTTGGCTATAATACAATAAAAGTGTAAATAATCTCACACCATTAAAACTATTTCTTGCTTGAATGAATAACAACCACTTTCTTTACTGGAATAAATCAGGCAATTTATTCTGTCAGTTTTAGAAAATGTGACTGCTGTAATTCACCATGTCACAAATGAATATGGACACAGTTTATTATTTCTTTTATTTTCACCCAAATTAGTCATTGACATTTACCCCTGTTGTACGAACATCATTATTGGAATAATTTGCTTGATAATACTATCATTAAGGAGTGCTGAGTGATCCAAATTGTGCACCATGTACTGGTTACTGTTTATCCAAAAAGCATGAGGAAACTCATCTTAAAAGCTAAGAAAGCAAAGAGAAAATTTACTATATTTCTTTCTTTTTTAGTGTCAACTACAAAGAGGATTGTCCTGCTGGGAAAATCTGGATCTGGGAAAAGCAACCTAGCTAACACCATATTTGGTCAAGCAGAAACCAAATCTGTCGACACTCCTGGTTTCTTTGACACAGAAAGGTCTGAGGACGACATGAAGCCTGAGATAGTGAGCTGTATCACAGAGTGCGCTCCTGGGCCTCATGCTTTTCTCATTGTGCTGAAAGTGGACAGATTCACAGAGCAGGAGCAGGCTGTCATCAACAAAATATGTCAATATTTTTCTGAAGATGCTCTAAAATATGCTGTCACTGTCTTCACTCATGGTGACCAGCTTCCTGAAGGGATGGGAATTGAAGAGTTTGTCAATCAGAACAAGAATCTGAGTGATCTGGTGAAGAAGTGTGGAGGCCGGTGCCACGTCATTGATAATAAATACTGGAAGAACAAACAGCAGAACAACTACAGGAGTAACCAGTTCCAGGTGGAGGACCTACTCAACACAATAGACAAGATGGTGATGGAAAACAATGGGGGCTGCTACACCAATATGATGTTTGAAACAGTAGAGAAAGAAATACAGAGAGAGGAAGAGAACATTAGACAGTCATCAGGAAACCTGCCAGTGGAAGAGATCAGAAAACAGGCTAAAACCAGAGTGTATCAGAGAGTAATGATCCAACGAAGCAGTGTTTGGAGCTTTTTTTGGTGTGGCAGCCATGGTCGGGTTAGTTATCACAGCTATAAATAGCTATAAAGGATTAATGACACTTGTGAAAAGAATTCCAGCAGTGGGAGGAGCAGCCGTAGTAGCAGGAGGAGTAGAAGCAGCAGGACTGACAGCTGCCGGAGTGGTGGTAGGTGTGTCAACAGCAGGCTTGGCTGCAACAGGAGGAGTAATGGGTGGTATGATTGGACACAATGCAGCTGAGGGAGCAAAAACACCATTGGAGGCAGCATAGTTGGCAGGTAAGGCTGTCATGGACAAAGGAAAAGCCACTTGGGAGCAGCGGAGCAACATGAAGACATGAATATTTGTGTTTGACTTCATGTGCCACTTTTCAGCGCTGAATTAACGTAATGCGTGCTGACTTAACATAAAGCATGCTGGTTAAAAATGTTGTCAGACTTTAACCGGCACTGTAAAATGTCCCCATGTCACATGACATTAAAAGTACTCTGGAGCAAAGCAGCACACATAAAATGGCGGGATGTTGTAGTGAACAACGGTGTGGATTTGTGCATTTTACATTGAATAAATTTGGAGCTACCCTAAATTCCTTTCTCCTCCCCAGAGAAGAAGGGGAGGGGTCAAAGTTGCTTTCTCTAAGTGCTATCCCGACCATAAAACTGGCACCATTTTGATTCCGAAGCTGATAACGCGGGGCCTGACTGTTAAACTGACAAAGGGACACGAGCCAGCCATTGGTATCTCCCTGAACAGCCTATCAAAACTGGCCCCCCCACACACGTTTCCGTGGCAATTGACCTTATTCTTTGTTTTATTACCACATCAAAAAGGAAAACCCCTGTCTCACCTAAGTGTGACATGGTCCAGACACTGAACTTTCAATGTAAAAGGACTGCAGTCTCCAAAGACTCAAAGCATTTAATTAAATCTAATTAAATCTTTAGTTACCTGAATACGTTTGCCTCTATTTGAGTAGTTATGTTAACTGTTGTTGCTATCTGTTGTTGATATTAGTGCTGAAAAGAAGTTACTTGTGCAGTGTTTTTATTTTCAGCAAGACACTCCTTCATCTAATGTAATCCAAGCTTTCCTCATGTAACCTGAGCTCCCCCAAGTGGGCGAAATAAGTATTACATGCCCTCGTCGGAAATGCTGTTAAATTTATAAATATCCTGACCAACAATGTGACAATTGTTTCCTGTTACCAAATGCCTAGAACAGTACAACCGTTCAACCATTGAGGTACGATTGTGGAAAATGTTTTATTATAATACGTGCAAATAGATTTCTTTTCTTTAAACATTAAGTTTAGAAAGGCAGTCCCTTGGGAAACCTGAGACGCCCCCTGGGGAACCACGCCCCAGACAACTAAAGAGCAACACAAGACCACTCGTTTTGCTCTCTCCGCTGCTCTGCTCGGCTCTGTGGACGCTTCGGCACGAGCAGCGTGCCTCACCAGGCGACGCCCAGACTCGGCCAGCGAAACAAACAGGCCCTTTGTTCGCCTGAAGCTACACACCTGAAGTGCTGCGACATCGATCTGCCTTCAGTTTGTTTTATTTTCTTTATTTCTTTTGTTTGTTAAAGTTATCAGTCCGTTAAGTTACACTGGACTAATTCAGGAACGACCAAGTTCCATTTTAAGCCTTTTTCGTCGAGCCAACTTCACCAAGGTCAGACCAAGCCACATGGTCTCGCCAGCTACAACGAAGGAAACCTGAAAACAGCCAAATTGCCAGACGGAGGAGGCGTTTTCAATCAGACACGGAGAACCCTGGAGAATCCCTAGCAAAAAGCCAGGATCGGCAGCTAGCGTGGGACCCGTGCAACAGGCCAAAGCAGGCTGTCGACAAGCAGTAAGACTTAACACACGTTCTGTGATCAGATGTCCATTTTAACTCCTAAAATCATAGCATTAGTTTACTTTCAGTAGCTCTTCTATGCCGTATGAGTCAAATGCTTCCCACAATCGAACCTCCAGGCTCATTGTTCAGCAAATGTTTGTTCCCTGTATCCAACCATCTTTTTATCACCTTTAGTTAGAGAATAAATTCACTGTAATATAATCAAGAGCTGTGTGTGTTGCCTATTTATAGTTCCTGCCAAGAGAATTGACCCTTTAGATATGAGACTGACTGACTGATTTAAGATAATTGAGCGATTATTAACTAACTGATCACTAGTAATAATTGTATAATTATTCAAAACTACCTAGAGGTCCGGAGACTCTAGGATTATAACAACTCCGGTGGTGCCCTAAAACGAGGAATTAAATAAAATGATTTTATGAATCTTAAAAATTCATAATTGGGTATCAATTCTTAGAAATTTATTAAAATGCATAACTAATAAATTTAGGTCTGCTACAATGTTTACTATAAAACTGGAGGTAGTCCGCAATTACCAAGATCGTTTTGATGTGTCATTGAAATCATAACCTCCTCAAGGTTCGCTATGTTTGGTTTGTTACTTCTGCACAAGATCCACCACCCTTCAGCCCAAGACCAGGATAGAGCGGCTGAGTGAAGGTGATGTGTTCTTTGTGGAGCAGAGTCATCATGTTGTGAGTGATGCTATAAAAAGGACAGAGTACCTGATTTATAATCCAGGTACACTCCGATCTTGAAGGATTGAGGGCCTGACACTGTTATGTTTCCTGTGTCTTGTAGGAAAGAGTAACCTTTTGGGGAGCACTCTAAACTCCACGACTTGTTATTCTTTCCAAACTCTGAGTCCGATGATGTTCTGCTGATGTCTTTGTATGACACTGCCGCAGACCAAGTACAACACTGTACTCTGACCGACCTCCCAGTAACATCGTTTTGACAAACCCTCTCTGCACAACACCTGACCAACGTTCGTAAACTTGTCTGAGTGAACAAAGTAAAACTGCGCTGATATAGTGTGAAACGGCATAGAGTTAATTTTTTTTTACTCACAGCTTAAAAACTCTTCTCTGGTCTTTGGCACAGGTGGCAGGACAACATCTATAGTAGATACTAACAAAAAAAGAAAGAATATCCTGAATACCACTGGACTTGAATAAAACCACTTTATAATTCTGGATTTTCATATTTATATCAGTTACCTGTAGCAGACATTGTGGGCCATGTGTCCTGCAGGAGCTTCTCGATATCCTTCAGCTTGGACATGCAGTCAGTCACAGTTTTGAATGAACGTTCGGGACGAACAACAGGATCAGCAGGCAAATCTGGAGATTCATAGGAGGTGGAGAGGGTCTGGAAAGTCGGGAGGGAATTCAATAAGGCAGAGACCAGAAGAAAAACTAAACAAAAGCAGGAAAACACACAAAATGTAAAAACTCATACAATGTACCATAGTTGATGTAAATTCCATTACAAAACAAGACGATAATGCTATTTACACTTTTGTCTACATTTGTCCTACTCTTTGGTCCAAAGACTAATAGACAACCAGTTTACTTTCAGTTAGACTGTAACTAAATCAAGCGTGATTTTCCAACATAAACTCAACTCATGCAAACCAACGGCTGACGTCACAGTGGCTACTGTATGTAGACTTCTTTTATAGAGTCTTATGGGCAACACATTCAGCTGTGCTTTGTCCTCAAGGAAAAATAACTGAGCGGAGTTTTGAGTATTTAAAACTTCTAGAGTTACATGTGGAATTGAAATAACATACAAATTATACAAAGTGTTATTGCAAAGACCTCGATAAAATGAATGTTGTCGTCCATATGAGAAAGCTGTTCCAGTTTGGAGTCTCTCTTCCTCAGCTTGGTGATCTCCTCCAGCTGCAGCTCTTCAGCCTGAGCGACTGCAGTTTTCTCTCTGGCTTTGATCAGCTGCTTCGACAAAGTGCCTTTTTTCTTTATGGACGAGGTCAGCTCATCTAACATCTTATCACTGGTCTTCACTGCAGTCTGTGTACAGCTCTGCACATACACAGGCAAATATTTGTCTTTTTTAATAATATTTAATAGTAAAGTCATTTGTCAAAACAAACTGAATCAACAAGTTAACACATGCATCTGTAATGGTTATTATGGTAAAGACATGAAAAAAGTCAAAATCCTTAAAAAAAGAAAGAAAGAAAAAAAAAACTAGATATAGCATAAGAGCCTGATCTCACTCTGTCTTAGTACATGGAGTAATGTTAAATAATTCTCTGCCTTTTTTTATTAAACCACTTTATGAGTGCCATGACATTCAAACCTGGACAAGACATCTTCAATAGTGGTCAATACAAACACAGGATCAAACAGTAAAGTCTAATTTCCGCACCTTGAAATACTTCAGAGCTTGGACCAGCTCATTCAGCTCCTCTCTCTCCTGGACTTTCTTTTGACTCACAATCAGCTGTTTCTGAAAGAAATTAATCATTGTGAATGATTTTATTTATACAATTATTGTTTTCTATAATTTCAAATCACATCTACAGAGTATGGCTGTTTTTTGAAAAGACAAGCAGTCAACAGTTTCATGTTCACTAGGGTCACTGTGTATTTTTTATTCTACCTGTTCCTCAGCCCTCTCTGCTGCAGCCGACACTGTATGGTGGCTTTCATGCATATCTATAAAGGCACAGATAGCAGATACACCTCTCGTCTGTCTGACAGTAGACCTCCATCAGCTTGTTGTGCTTCGTACACATCTTTTCCTGCATTGGGATTGTAGCAGAGACCAGCTGGTGCATCTTCAACACAGGAACACTGTAGTGAGGCTCCAGGTTAGCTGGGCAGTAAGATGCCAAATAGGTCAGGCAAGACATCGTGGCTTTGTTTCGGTGGCCCCACTGCAGAAATCACAGACGACATCTGCCAGGCCGGCACAAGCTACAGCAGCAGGGGGACAAGTTTGCTGGGTGCTTGAAGTCTTCAGCATCTCAACAACCTAGGGATTATAAAAGGAAGGTTGAGAAATAATGTAGATTACATGACATACAAGAGAAAAGTAGAATGAGATCAAAAATTCAATCAAAGAGAGTACATTTCTACCAAGGCTTCACAATCCTTTAAATAGTCCCCCCCTGGTCCAGGTCCAACCACACGCTGCACACCTGCTGCTGCTTATCCATGACTTTCACATGCAGAGAGGAGCACTCCTGAGTTCCGACCTGAGGAAATGGGGATCGCGTAGCACGAGCGCGCGCACCGCGAGGCGTCTTCCCACTGGTGCGGAGATTTCAAGAGCAGCACACTTCCAACGTCATCCAGGTAACAGCCCGTGCCTTTGAACTGTTACTTCAAAACAGAATAAATTTTTTATCTTGTTGATGTTTTCCACATAAGTTGAAAAAAGGTGCTAAATTGGGCATTGTTCTCATGTGATACTTCCGTAGCTTGCTTTGCAGATAATCTAGGCTACTGAGAACACCATCTATCTCTCTTCACCACATGCCATTGACATAATCTGTTCCAGTGATATTTTATTAACAATCGTAATGTTAATTATTATAATAACAATAATAACAATTGGACTAGTAACAATAGTCGTTGCAGCAGAGGGTGTTGAGCAGGAACACGGGGGCAGCAGGTGACCCGCAGCCACAGATCCAGACTCCACAGCTCCAGAGCCAGAAAACCTGCAAGCGATAGGAGGAGAGAGGAGAGGGACGAGAAAGCACAAGACTACCGGACAGGGGAGAAGTTGTGTTAGTAACATGCAATAATGGGATGAGGTTGCATACAGAGGTAGAGAAAGTAGAGGAGAGAGGAGCTCAGTGCATCATAGGAAATCCCGTGGCAGTCTAGGCCTATAGCTGCATAACTAAGGGATGTTTCAGGACTCACCTGAGCCAGCCCTAACTATAAGCTTGTGGAGATGGTGTCTGCCTCCTGAACCCAAACTGGAACCTGGTTCCACAGGAGAGGAGCTTGATAGCTGAACGCTCTGGCTCCTAGTCTACTTTTGAAGACTCAAGTAACCCTGCATTCTGGGAGCGCAGTGCTCTGGTGGGGTAGTAAGGTACTATGAGCTCTTTAAGATAAGATGGTGCCTGACCATTAAGAGCTTTGTAGGTAAGAAGAATGATTTTAAATTCTAGCCAATGCAAAGAAGCTAAAACAGGAGAAATATGATCTCTTTTCCTGGTTCCTGTCAGAACACGTGCTGCAGCATTCTGGATCAGCTGAAGAGTCTTAACGGACTTTTTCGAGCAGCCTGATAATAAGGAATTGCAGTAATCCAGCCTAGAAGCAACAAATGCATGGACTAGTTTTTCTGCATCATTTTTAGACAGGATGTTTCTGATTATCGCAATATTATGTAGGTGAAAAAAGGCGGTCCTTGAAATTTGCTTAATGTGAGACTTAAACGACATGTCCTGATCAAAGATAACTCCAAGATTCCTCACAGTGGTGCTGGAGGCCAGGGCGATGCCATCCAGGGAAACTATATCTTTAGATAATGCGTCACGGAGGTGCTTAGGCCCAAGAGCAATAACTTCAGTTTAACATTAGAAATTACAGGTCATCCAGGTTTTAACATCCTGAAGGCACATTTGAAGTTTAGCTAACTGATGAGTTTTATCTGGTTTGATCGATATAACTGAGTATCATCTGCATAACAATGAAAGCTTATGGAATGTTTCCTGATAATATTGCCTAAAGGAAGCATATATAAAGTGAAGAGGATTGGTCCGAGGACACATCCTTGAGGAACTCCATCACTAACTTTGGCGTGCATGGAGGACTCATCGTTAACATGTACAAACTGAAATCGATCTGATAAATAGGACTTAAACCAGCTTAGAGCGGTTCCTTTAATGCCAATGAAATATTCCAGTCTCTGCAATAGGATCTGATGGTCAATGGTATCAAATGCAGCACTAAGATCTAATAAAACCAGTACAGAGACAAGTCCTTTGTCTGATGCAATAAGGAGGTCGTTAGTAATTTTCACCAGTGCTGTCTCTGTGCTATGATGAGCTCTAAATCCTGACTGAAAATCCTCAAATAAACTATTGCTCTGTAGAAAGTCACACAGCTGTTTAGCAACTGCTTTCTCCAGGACCTTAGAGAGAAATGGAAGGTTAGATATAGGTCTATAGTTGGCTAAAACATCCAGATCAAGTTTGGGCTTTTTCAGAAGAGGTTTAATTACAGCTACTTTAAAGTACTGTGGTACATAGCCTGTTGATAAAGATAGATTAATCATATCTAGTATAGAAGTGCTGACTAAGGTTAAAACATCTTTAAGCAACCTAGTCGGGATGGGGTCTAAGAGGCAGGTTGATGGTTTAGATGAAGAAATTATTGAAGTTAGTTGGTTAAGATTGAGGGAAGCAAAACAGTCTAAACATATATCTGGTTCTACAGCTGTTTCTAAGGTTCCTGAGTTAAGAGATAATTCGGTGCCAGTTGAGGGCAGGTCTTGGTGAATTTTGTCTCTAATAATTTTATCATTAAAGAAGCTCATGAAGTCGTAACTACTGAGAGCTATGGGAATACTTGGCTCAATAGAGCTGTGACTCTGTCAGCCTGGCTACAGTGCTGAAAAGAAACCTGGGGTTGTTCCTATTTTCCTCTATTAATGACGAGTAGTACGCTGCTCTGGCATTATGGAGGGCCTTCCTATTTTAAGACTATCTTGCCAAATTAAACGAGAATTTTCCAGTTTGGTGGAACGCCAATTCCTCTCAAGTTTCCGTGATATTTTCTTTAATTTGCGAGTTTCATTATTATACCATGGAGCTAACCGTCTTTGTTTTAGTATTTTCTTTTTTAGAGGGGCTACAGAGTTGAGTGTCATTCGCAGCGAGCCTGCAGCACTATCAACAAGATGATCAATTTGGGAGGGACTGAAATTAGCATAGGAGTCCTCTGTTACTTTGTGACTTGATAATGAATTTAGAGCTGATGGAATCGCATCCTTAAATTTAGCTATGGCACTATCAGACAGACATCTTGTATAGAAATTTTTGCCTGATGGCGTGTAGCTCAGCAATACAAACTCAAAAGTTATCAAACAGTGGTCGGATAAAGAGGGATTCTGTGGGAACACCACTAAATGTTCAATTTCAATACCATACACCAAAACAAGGTCGAGGGTGTGGTTAAAACAGTGAGTCGGTTCATGAACACTCTGAGAGAAGCCGATGGAATCTAACAGAGAGATAAACGCAGTACTGAAGCTGTCATTCTCAACGTCCACATGAATGTTAAAATCCCCTACAATAATAACTTTGTCCGTTTTAAGGACAAAAGTTGACAAAAACTCTGCAAATTCAGATAAGAATTCAGAATACGGACCAGGTGCTCGGTACACTATAACGATGAGAATTGGTTGCAGTGATTTCCAACTTGGGTGCGAAAGACTAAGAACAAGACTTTCAAATGAGTTATAGTTTAGTTTAGGTTTAGAGCTGATTAGTAGGCTAGAGTCGAAGATAGCTGCAACTCCACCTCCTCGGCCTGTGCCTCGAGGAATGTGAGTATTAATATGACTGGGAGGGGTGGATTCATTTAGGCTAACATATTCTCCATCACCCAGCCAGGTTTCAGTAAGACAAAATAAATTAATATCATAATCTGATATTAGTTCATTTACTAGTACAGCTTTAGAAGAGAGAGATCTGATGTTTAAGAGTCCACATTTAACTCTTCTATTCGTTTGCACTATTGCTCTTGTGGTTTTAATGTTTATGAGGTTTTTATGTACAGCTCCTCTTCTGTTTACCTTTGATTTAAATAATTTCGATGGTCGGGGGACAGACACCGTCACTATAGGATTTTCACTAAGTAACTCCTGAAATGGAGGAGCAGAGAAGTGTGTGACTGCGACTCTGCCTCCTGGTCTCAACTCTGGGTTGTCATGGATTTGGTCCACTAATGATTTAGTAAAACGGCTTAGCAGAAGAATCTTCCATTTTGTGATAAAAGCATTAAATCTGGTACACATACACAGTGGCACTCCTAACAAATTTGGATATTGGGCCATCGTGAATTTTTAAATACGGCGACCATAGCAGCCATTTTTCAGTATGGCTGCCAGAGACCACTGCTTTCAGCTGAATTTTTTTTATCAGTGATGTATTTAATATGACATTGAGCATATAATTAGTTTGATTAATTTAGCATACATAGTTCTTGGCAACTGCCATTTGAATAATACATGCTAGTCACAGACAATTAAAGATGGCTTCCTTTTTTCAAGATGGCAGCCTTGATTAGCGTGAAAATGGGATGGTACAGGCTGAAAAGAAAGTTCCTTTGACCGGTTCATTAATGGCAACAGTTGTATTCAGCTGGAGAGTATTAACATGCTATATAACCAGACTAACGTGACATTAACTGAAGTGGTACAGCACACAGACACTGGAAAACAGAAATAAGCACATAGCTGTTTAATTGTTATACAACATGTAACACAAACACTAACTTAAATAATAAAATTAAACACAAAGAAACATAACAAATGTACAACATATTCAGCATCTCATAGTCATGTAAAGTGCAAGAGAAATCTTTAAAAATACAGAAGTAATTATTAAAAAGGTATCACAGTTAGTGTTGAATCACTCACCAATGCAAAAACTCTTCAATAAAGACTAATTTGAAAGGAGTCTCATACTGTTAGATACTGAGGTGGATTAGCCCAGGAGTGACCTGGCTGACGCGCTGCCTTTATGTTATGTTGCTAAACAGTATAGTGCTCAAGAATCTCCAGGCTGTTGTTGTGTTGCAGAATAATACGTTTTCCTGTGCAGCTTGAAATGTCCATTTTTCCTGTTTCAGTGGTAAAACTGCACACTCTAAACACTAGCGGGTCAAAACACCTGTCGTACAACAGTTTGAATGCTACCTTTATAACCTTGACCCCAGGTAATAGCAGAGTAACACCCAAGGTACACACAAGAAACTACACCCAATATCTGAATACTCAAAACACATTTGGCTCCCAGAGTAAAAACAAAACCTTATTCTTTATCTCAAAGTCATGAAAAGTATCAAAAAATAGTTTTAGATGTTAAATCCTGGTTTCCAACAAATTATTTAAATGTTTCACTAGTCCATAAATCAAACACCCCATTGCTCCGTAATTGGTTTTAACATGATTTATATGTTTTATCTAAAAAGAAATGTTTAGATTTGCTGCAATCCTACACTGGTTCCAGACATCCCCTACTGTCTTCTGAATGGCTTCACCTGGAGTTTCTGCTCCTTCAGCTGCATTATATCCTGTTAGAACACCCTTTACTGCGCCATGTTGAGCGGCCGATGCAACTGTTGCTCTTCCTCTTTCTGTTGATACTAGTGCTGAAACATCTGAAGGGTTTTGAAAGTTGCCAACAGTTGATGCAACCATCTCTGCCACACCAAGCAAAGCTCCCAGCAATGCACCTGTTGCAATACCTGCTGATCTGATCAATAACCTTTCAAATACATTAATTTTAGCTTCAATTCTAATCTTTTTCTGTGACATGTTTCCTGATGACAGTCTAATGCACTCTTCCTCTCTATGTATTTCTCTTTTCACTACTTGTAGCATCTCGTTGGTGTAGCAGCTTCCTTTGTTTACCTTCGTCATCTTGTCTATTGTGTTGAGTATCTCTGCCACCTGGAACTGGTTACTCCTGTAGTTGTTCTGCTGTTTGTTCTTCCAGTATTTATTATCAATGACGTGGCACCGGCCTCCACACCTCTTCACCAGATCACTCAGATTCTTGTTCTGACTGACAAACTCTTCAATTTTCATCCCTTTAGGGAGCTGGTCACCATGAGTGAAGACAATGACAGCATATTTTAGAGCATCTTCAGAGAAACTTTGGAATATTTTGTTGATGACAGCCTGCTCCTGCTCTGTGAATTTCTCCACTTTCAACACAATGAGAAAAGCATGAGGCCCAGGAGCGCACTCTGTGATACAGCTCACTATCTCACGATTTATGTCCTTCTCAGACCTTTCTGTGTCATATAAACCAGGAGTGTCGATCAAGGTGATGCTTCTTCCATTGACAGATTTGGTTTTTGCTTGACATTTTGTTGTTTCAGAGTCAGAGGAATGGTTTGTGATGAATAATTCTTCTCCAAATATGGTGTTAGCTAGGTTGCTTTTCCCAGATCCACTTTTTCCCAGCAGGATGACCGTCTTTGGAGATGACACTAGAAGAGAACAATGACCCTGTTAAGTACATTTTCTCTTGCTTTTTTGCTTTCTTCAGCTGTTAGCTTTACATAGTAGTTTTCTAATACTTGTTGGGAAACAAACTACGTGTTGTACAGTTTGGCTCACAAAAGAAGCCTTTCTTAATGTCATCATTAGCATTCAAATTAATACAATAATAATGTTAGATCCACAGAAGGGAATGTCAATAGCTGCATTTCCACCAAAAGTAGGATCTATTTTTAAGGAACTAATTGGTATATACTCCCCAAAGATCATGGTAAAATAAAGTCCCTGGAACTTAATTTAGACCCTGGTCGCTGCAATTCCTCTAAAGCATCCTATTTCTGGGGTAAAGCTCCTACGGTGGAAATGCGGCTAATGCCTTATTTAGGTTAAAATAAAAGTAATGATAAACAATATCCATATTCATCTGTGACATGATCAATTACTGCAGTCACATACATCTTTAAGTGTTCTGTTATTCACCATAGCAAAAAATATACTTTTTTGATGCTGGGAGACCATTTTCAATTTACTGTATTATAACCAAATTAAATACTGTAAATAAGTAACAAATGCACTTAAAAACATTGAAAAAAAAACTCAATATCTACACCTACCATAGGTTTATGTCTAACAGCAGTAACTATAGCCTCAGAGCACACAGTGACAGCAGATCCAGGTTATGGCTATTAGGCTTGGGCGGTATTTGTTTTTCATACCTTTATGAAATTTCATTGTGTTTTTGACGGTATTAAAAATCATACTGTCGGGATTTCAAATTACCCTGGTGGTATAACGTAATACCGCCGAAGCCTACTGGCTATAGTCTGAATTGCACAATTTCTGAAAGTTCCAGAGCAGACATGTTCTGCGACCTGATGCTCCACCTACACACCCAAAAGAATGCAGCAGTTTCTTGCAGTTTAAGTTCCCTCCTGTGCCCACTATCACTTCACCTATAGAAATTTTCCCAATATTTTTGACTTAGGCATTGCTCTCACTCTGTGCTTCAGGACAGCCTGCTTGACTCAGTGCAGCAGAAACACCTCCAAAGTGTTTCAGATCTTCATTGGCAGCGTTCACCAGGGCATCAGCATCCTGTTCGGTGATGTCACACTGACACACCAGCCCCTGGTGTCCCCCACAAAGGCTGTAGATTCTTGCACCAGATGCCAAATTCTGTCTAGTAATACCCCCTGAAGAGTCAAAACCATGCAGCTGCAGCAATTCTGGTAACTCTTGTGCTAACTCTGGGAAAGGGAGATCGACTATGCTTTGCACACAAGACTGGTCCAAAATAAACTGTGTGACAGTTTCACTCAGCTCTTCGACCTCCTTCGTGTGGCCCAGTAGGAACACTGTGCTGTCTAAGCCAAACACAACCTGAGCCCTATGCTGCCCTCGGTTCATCTCATTTGTCTTGGACTTAAGCTTTTCCTGAAGCTCAGGTAGCACAGCAGAGCAGTTAGGCACATAGATCTTGACTTCCTTGAATTTTTCTTGCAGTTTTTTCTCTGTCTCATCCAGTTTTTCAGCAGAGCAGCTGAACAAACGCAGTTCTGTGTCTCGTAACTCTACTTCCACCTTGTCACCAAACCCTAAAATGTCACTTAGCACCCCTGGACCTCCATATGCCCTCCTGAGGAAGGCCAAAAAATGTGGGCTCATGTCAGAAACTGTCCTTTCTGACACCAAACTTTCCATATCAGAGATCTGGTCTCCGGCCTTAAGAATCTCCTCAACAGAACCTTCCAAAACTAACTGCCCTGCATCTCCCTGTGTGACCTTCACACCTGGAAAATCTCGTCCCAGACTGTGCTCAATCTCTGTCCAAAGGAGACGGAGTTTGGCTGTGCCAAGTCGGCGAATGCTTGTTTGCTTTTCACTTAAACTTGACCCTTGTTTAACCCGTGAGTGCTCTACATCCATCAACCTGGCCTTCACCTGAGAACGTTTCCCAACAACAACAGCCATCCCAACCTCGCTGTACACCTTCACCTCATCTGTGACCTGACGGGAGCTGCAGGACTGAAGCAAAGATTTAACTTTGTGAGGGTCAACCTCATAGTGGCACAGATATCCATCAAAAACTTTGTCTACTTCAGCTGTCCAGTTTCTAACTTCATCTTCTGCACCAGGTTGAGCTAAGCACCTAACTAAAGCCCTCTCATCCTCTGGGTAAAGCTTGGCAGAGCAGGCCACAGAAGAGAGTTCTTTCTCTAGTTCTTTCCCAGCGTTGGGGCTTTCCTTTAGGTAACGAAGGAGGTAAAGGTCAAGTTGTAGTTCATAGTTTCCACCACTTGGTGGTGGAGTTGAAGCAGGAATGGACTGTGGGCTCTGTGTTGAAAAGAGAGGTCCAAGTAATGTTAAAAAAAAGTTTACTTGTCTCAGTTTTTCCCCCATTTATTTTTAAGTGTTAGAAAAAAGCCCTATCTTACTATCATATAATGATCATAAACATTTATTTCAATGTACATTGTTTTTATACACCAGTGAAAACATAGTTATGGATATTATATTCCATTTCTGTCAATAGATGGTCCTAAATACAGCATTATACACTGAACCTTTAATTACATGAAACAATGAACTGTAAAATCAGTTTTGACAGAAGGTTTGTGCTAACCTCTACTGGAGCTGTATAAACATGACTTGCAGAGGAACTGGTGGTGGGAGATACGGTAAGTCCCAGGCTGCCTCGGACAGTGAACACCAGATGTCCATCGGCAAACTCCACAACATGCTCATGTTTCTGCAGGACTGCCTGCTGATCTAAAACAAAAAAAGTGACATTAGATACTGAGAGTTTTATGTTAAGGAAATCGCTGCCAAGTAGCCTATATGTTCTCATACTTTATACTTGTAGGCCTATATCCCACTATATTTCAGAGGGAAATATTGTAGCCTATATCTTTTATTCCACTGCACCTAATAGGGTGACCAGTTGTCCCGAAAATTAGACCTAACATGAGTTTTGATTATAGCCTAATTAAACATTAAATAGGCCTACTGATCGTGGCATAGTTCGCTTGCTCCAGCAGAGGTTGCAGGTTATCTGTACATTGTGTCAACAGCGTTGTTATAGCCACAAAGTAACACTCGTCGTGCTCTTTTCCCCTTTTTGTTTTCTTGTGGTTAGTGGAATTTACAGTCGCGAGGACAGGGAAGGTGTAGCTTCAGGCAGGCACGGCGGAGAGATCTGACACTGCACTGATGACATGAATAAATATAAAAATTAGGTAAAAGATCATGACGTACCTACATAGGCCTATCCACAGTTGTGTTTTTCCTAATAACAGACAGATGACTTCATGAACAAAATTTCAGCGTTGTGTTTTGATTTTTTACGTGTGTTAATGTTCAATGTGGCAGTAGCCACTTGTAACAGACTTGTGACAGTATTTTTGCTAATTTAATTTGCTACTTTGACTTTCATTGCTGATAACAGCTGATGTTACTTGTTCGTTCAGTTTGCTGGTAAAGTGAATTAACTTTTCCAGTCGAATATTTCTATAGCCCCTTCATATAGGCTATAGGTGGTATAATGTTGCGTATATAGCCTATGTAATAAATAGAGATATACATAAAAGAAACTCTGGAACCTTTTATTTCATTTTTGTTTTCTCGGTAAAGTGAAACTTAAGCAACTGTTCCAATCTCAGTCTTTGACCGTTCATAATACATAAACGTAGAGCCTTTCGTTTTTGTAAATGCCTAGTGCAAACATAGGATAGGGCTTTAACCAACTTTCACAATACAAAATAACAATAACATGAACTGTTTCCGACCTACCTTTCTCATATTTGAAAGCAACGCTGTAAACTTTATCATTCACGCACGTCAGTGACCCGCAGTCTCCTCCGCCTGATCTGCGGCGAATGCAGAAATATCTTTGAACTTTTTTAATCTGCTCCCCGAGCAGGTCGTTACACTCGAAGAAAACGGGATATTGGTAAATATCGTCCATCATCTGCAGGTTGGCCTTGTTTTTGACGAGCGCAGTGTGTCATAGCGGAAATCCCCCCCCCCCCCTTGTCTCATAATGGTTTGGTCCAGTGGCTGTTTCACCCTTGACGTCAGCTACACAAACCAGACCTGTGCGAGAACAGACCTCTTCAGTAGTTGTTGAACTCCAGTAACGTTAAGTAGGTTGGCAATGCTATTTTATTCAATTTAAACATCGGATGAAGTTATTATTTTCCCTTCTAGCATTTTGACGCTATTATAGCCTGTTCATTATATTCATTAAATAGCCTAAGTGGTATAAAATGGTCAATAAGAGGGAAGTCACCTAATGTGCCACTTTTTTGGTCTGAGACTGCGGGCCTCCCCCATACGGCCTTCGCTCAATTCCTGTATGCCTATGGAATCATGATTATATTATTTGATCCCATAAATGACCCAACATTTGAACCAAAATAGCCTGATATTGCTGTTTGACATAACTTCTGACTACACCAAATAGTTTTTAAAAAAGGTCTGTCCTAAGGCATTTATTAGTTTCTGACTCTGATGGAAACATTTCCCAAAAACTACTGCATCTCTGAACTCTCACACGTCGGCTATTCTATGAGATCTCCTTGTGATAAATGATGCAGTGCAATATTGTGTCTCTTCCATTCAATGAGCTTTCCTGAAACGGTTTGGAGCCCCCTGAACTAGACCATCTACTAGGCTAAGCTATGCATGAGATCTAATGGTATTTTTATAAATTGGCATGGGCCTTTTCAATATTTATTTGTAAAAAAAAAAAGTAAAAAGTAAAATTTGTTTGGAATTATGAGAGTTTGAGTATCAGCAAACCGCCTCTGGCCCATTTTAACTTTCCCAGCTATTCACTTAAAAGGAACAGCTGTTTAGGATAAATGTAAAGAGAGCAACCTAACATTATTGTCTTAGGAGTGCCACAGTAACAACATCTTAAATACATTTTATGCAACAAAAAGCTGAACAAATATTTCATTGAAAAATGCATTTAAAAATGAACTGAATGTGTTGTATTATGGGTGTGTGTCTTTTGCACATTGCTGTCTTTGTGTCGGTTTTGAGCGTAAAGTAATATAAAACTTTTTTTGACTTTTCATAGCCTCATCCTGCTATTTACAAGCACCTGGTTGTTGTTGCTGTGCTTGGGGGAATTTCTTGTTTTAATATAAAAAAATGTTTTGTATGGACGTACGTATAGACCTATGAACCTCTTTTGCACCCTCAATTTCTTAGTAACTTCTCAGTAATCGTGTGGGTCACGTGGTCCATTTTAGATTAAAATTGTGGTGTAGTGAGCTAAAAAAGTACCCACAAAAATCTAAGTTTCTTTTTAAATTAGATTTTTTTTATTTGAAAAAACCTGGCAAAACATCTTTCATAAACATTTTGCTTTGTAATTGCTTTATCACTCTTATTAGTGATGAGTGAAATTTATTATGTCAAGCTCATTTTCCAAAGGATAGGACACATGTACTACATGAACAGGCTGTGCCCCGCCCACTATATAAATCTCAGACCAATCAAAACTATTGTTACATGTCAACTAGTGTTGTAGCAACAATTCAAGATCAATAATTGTTATTGGCTGTAAAATTTTACTGCGCTATAAAGCTCCAGCCTGATTTTAGCTGACTTCACCCAATAAGACAATAAAAGGAGACAAAAATATTGTTTATCGCATTTATTTCTGGGAAAATATATCAACCAACAAAAGTAGTTATCGTGACAGGCTTAGCCAGAATATTTATCTTTTACATCTGTGAACTAAGGGTTTATTTCAACCAAACCACTTTTCTTTCTTCGTCTGTGCAGATTGACAGCGACGTCATTGTGATGGTGGATGATGAAACACAAATTACATCCTTTCCTAGGGAGACCGAATTGCCCTCTTCTTCTGCAAAAGTCTCCCCTCAAAATGATCAGATAGATTACATCACTTGTGCTGCTCATAACAATGCCTGCAATGTCAGATTTGGATGACCTCAAACTACTACTAGACTACAACTTCTGCTTCAGACTTTCTTTCAGTAACAAAAAAAAACTGCAATTTTGGTACATAACAATCAGATAGTTTGTAGAAGACTCAGTCTGTTCAGAAGGAAGAACCAGTCTGACTTGGATGAAGTGCTGGCTTTTGTCCAACATGCGATCATGACCAATGTACAGATGCACGGTTACCATTGGCTACATCTTCGTACAGTTCAACAGGGAGTTGTGTCAAAAGATACCATAAGATGCATCATCAAATTTTTGATCTGCAAAAGGTGTGGAGTTAAGATGAGCATGAGGCTTGAAAATACGTCAGAATAGTTGCAGAGGGCCAAATGCGCTGTGGCAAATGGGTGGATATTATAAGCCCTATAGTATCAGTGTCTGTATAGATAGTTTTAGCCACAATGTGTTATGGATGGAGGCTTATTCTACGAACAGCGATCGTAAAGTAGTTGCAAGTTACTGTTTTAAAGGAAGGATATTAAAGGACAGTTAAAGGAACTCCAACTTAAGAGTTAAAACTTTTGCTCATTGCAGCTTACTCATTAGTTCCAGTACAAGGGTTGATAGTACTGAACCCAATATGTATTGTTTTTTTTACATTTTAATGCACCTTTTGAAACTTTTAATAACTTAACTTTTAATAAGAGAGCACAGAAGTTTGTTTTTTCCTTTCATAGTTTCTGGATATAAAAATACATATTATACATGATTAAAAACTACTGTATATTTTATACAACTATGCAAGTCACGTGGTCTTTTTGTATAAGGCTGATGTGGCTGGAGAGGAGGTGGCTTACCTGAACCATGTGATATCTCCAGGTGTCAACCCATCGCAGGGCCACACATAGACGAACAGCCACGCACGCTCACACTCACACCTAAGGACAATTTAGGGTCGGCCACCGTGCCGCCCTCCTTATTAGAATATTAGTGAATTAATTATTTTTTTATTGCATATATGACTGTGAACAGACTTCTCAAAATATGGTAAATCCATAATGATGACTAGCACTTAATTAGAAAATTCGCTCAGACTTTTGCTGCTCACTGAGGAGTGATTGTAAATGTAACTGCAGTTTGCAATTCTAATTGACAGGAAATATCAATAAACAGAGTTTTTTTGTAGTCTATGGATTTAACGCAGTTATGCATCTGAGACCATATTGTGCATGTGACACCTGACACCTTTTTCCAAAAGTATGTGAGCAGTCATGATCTGACTTTATGCGGCACACGACGTGAGTCTATAAGTGAAATGAGTTGGTTACCTGGGGATGAGAAGGTGAAGGTGTGCAGCCTGCAGCTCTTCATCTAACAGCTCACTGTGTCTGCTCCTGGCTGTTGCTTCACTACAATATTTCAAACCGGTCCACTGTCAACAAATGTTGAAAATGACAGTTGTTTTGTTTCGTAGACATATTTTTGATGAATGACAGCGGTCAGTGCTAATCTCACTGACTTTTCTGTGACTCCTTTGTAATAAAAGCCAACTTGTGCTTCAGTTTTGGCAGCTTTTGATGTAAAACTCCGGCAGTAGGAAATGTTCAATTTACATTAGCAGTACTTGCATTTCTTCTGTTATACCCCAGATATATAAATATTACAATACTTTCATCAGTGGCCAGTTGGCAACTGATAGGAAGGTTTGGCGGACCGGAGGTGGCCCGCGAGCCGCCAGTTGATGATCACTGCTTGAGATGGCAAACTTTGTGTCTGTGTTAAATGTTTTCAAGAAATAGGCCTACATGCAACCTATTGTAATAACCTTTTATGGTTAAATATTTGAAGGCAGCGTAACACTGCCATTGCTTTAGTTTACCTGGTCTGATCGTCTGGTCCGGTGCCACAGGCAAAAGAATACCACCACATAAACAGGAATAGCCTGTAGGTCTATTAGCCTATAGAATATAGCCTTTATTGAAAATACAAATTAATTTAAAAAGGGACACCGCAGGCAGAGAGCTCCCACAAAGGTCAACCCCTAACTGACACTGGAGCCGCCCCATCCCCCTACAACACAGTACTGCAAGTGAACGTTGCACATCAAACGCACAGCAACGTGTACACTGCAAACTACTGAGACACTAAAACATATGACGCCATGTCACTGTGTTGCCATGTCGCGAAATGCAGATGGAGGGCAGGAAGTGATTTGCTACATTTAGGAAGCACCTGCTGTCTCAGTTTGTGGTCTCTGAGACCTCAGCTATGAAACATGGTTAAATAGCCCACAATTAATGTCCAAACATTTGTGAAAAAATTACGAAAAAATTACATTTCCTTATTTGGTGTGATAGGTGATTTCCTGTTTTGTCGCTTTCATTTTCTCTGCTCTGTCAGTTTGTCTAGCAGGATCAGACCCACACTAAATAATGGACGATATTTATCAGTATCCCGTTTACTTTGAGTGTCCCAGCTTGCTTGGGGACCAGATTAAGAAAATACAAAGGTATTTTTGTATTCACCGCTGTTCAAAAGGAGGCGACTGTGGACCACTGAGGCGTGTGAACGATAAAGTCTACAACGTCAGTTTTAAATACCAGAGAGGTAGGTCATTAACTCAGCAGTTCATGTTTCAGTAGGCTGGTTTATATTGTGAACTGTCTTGTATGGGTTAAAGCTGTGCCTTACAATTGAACTATTATGAAACTATAGGCTCTACATTGATTTATTGAGTCAACACACGTGTAGGCATGATTTAGTCTTCCATCTGATTTTTGGGGAAGAACGGGGCGCCGGGGATGGTTGTAACATTTCTGTCCATATCTCAGATCTCTTTTAAGCCAGCCAGTTCAAAATGTGGTACAAAGTAGTTACACGTTGTAGGTACCCAAACCGTACTGCCTGCACAAAAGTGGTCCTGTCAGTCAAAGAAGGTTCCCACAAATGTGCCTGTTCGTAATTAATTACTAAGGATGACAAAGTGTTATTTGATGCAAAAGGTACTCTTCAGCGTCTGTATGAGACGCCCCCGGATGAGTCTGTATGAGATGCCCTGTCTACACCGGAAACTCTAATATCTAGCTAGGTAGCAAGATACTTTAGCATAAAAGGTATTGACAGCTCCCCAAAGCCCCTTACCCTTACCCTAACCCTAACCATCACAGGGGTGTGTGCCTAAACCTAAGTCAGCGATTGTATGCATGTTGACCAGCTAACCCTACAGCTGTGCATAGCAGCTAGGGTTAGCCTCCTCTGTGTTGCTACATTGTCAGATTGAATTTAAAAATATACTATTGAATAAGGTTTTTCGTTTCTTAAGAATATTCCCATGACATCATAGTGAACTGTTTCATCTCTAGTGATAAAAAAAACATTTTGTTATCTTGATTTGAAAGATTTAGTTGGATTATTTTGAATAGGCCCATTAATTGTAACCTTTGACTGACCACTTTTGCGCATTTGCAGAAGGGAGGCAGGCAGTACGGATTGTGCACTGACACACATGTGTGTAATTAAATGGTCTGAGTGTTATCTCTGCAACACAGACAGAAAAAGCGTGGTTTGCACTTTAAAGCCACTGTTATAAAAAGTAAAATTGTTCATTTTAGCCCACTGCCATTAATAAAAAGGGAAATGAAATACAGAATATAAAATTAACCAAATGTTGCCCTATGACCTTGATTATTTTCAAACAATAAGTGACAGCAAGGAGAGAAAGAGTCACATGTAATAAACGGTCTGTGGTTAATGTCAAAGAGCAGCAATTCTCTTGTTTAAAACTCACAATAACTAATGTCACTTTGTCTGTCTTAGATCAGCAGGCAGTCCTGCAGAGATTTTGAGCATGTTGTGGAGCTTGCAGATGGTTGTCTGGTATTCACTGTACGAGGCAGCCTGGATCCCCCCTCCTCTCCCATCACCACCTCCACCGCAAGTCCTGATTTTACAGCTCCAGTACAGGTTAGCACAAACTTTGTCATTCTTTTAAGGTGGTTTATTCAAGCACTGATTTACATGTACAGTTCTTAATTTAATGTAATTATAAAATACCACTGAGGCTGTAAAAACAGACAATTTAATAAAATTAACATTATTTGGACCTCTTTTTTCAATACAGAGCCCACAGTCCATTCCTGCTTCAACTCCTCCACCAAGTGGTGGAAACTATGAACTACAACTTGACCTTTACCTCCTTCGTTACCTAAAGGAAAGCCCCAACGCTGGGAAAGAACTAGAGAAAGAACTCTCTTTTTGTGGCCTGCTCTGCCAAGCTTTACCCAGAGGATGAGAGGGCTTTAGTTAGGTGCTTAGCTCAACCTGGTGCAGAAGATGAAGTTAGAAACTGGACAGCTGAAGTAGACAAAGTTTTTGATGGATATCTGTGCCACTATGAGGTTGACCCTCACAAAGTTAAATCTTTGCTTCAGTCCTGCAGCTCCCGTCAGGTCACAGATGAGGTGAAGGTGTACAGCGAGGTTGGGATGGCTGTTGTTGTTGGGAAACGTTCTCAGGTGAAGGCCAGGTTGATGGATGTAGAGCACTCACGGGTTAAACAAGGGTCAAGTTTAAGTGAAAAGCAAACCAGCATTCGCCGACTTGGCACAGCCAAACTCCGTCTCCTTTGGACAGAGATTGAGCACAGTCTGGGACGAGATTTTCCAGGTGTGAAGGTCACACAGGGAGATGCAGGGCAGTTAGTTTTGGAAGGATCTGTTGAGGAGATTCTTAAGGCCGGAGACCAGATCTCTGATATGGAAAATTTGGTGTCAGAAAGGACAGTTTCTGACATGAGCCCACATTTTTTGGCCTTCCTCAGGAGGGCATATGGAGGTCCAGGGGTGCTAAGTGACATTTTAGGGTTTGGTGACAAGGTGGAAGTAGAGTTACGAGACACAGAGCTGCGTTTGTTCAGCCACTCTGCTGGAAAACTGGATGAGACAGAGAAAAAACTGCAAGAAAAATTCAAGGAAGTCAAGATCTATGTGCCTAACTGCTCTGCTGTGCCATCTGAGCTTCAGGAAAAGCTTAAGTCCAAGACAAATGAGATGAACCGAGGGCAGCATAGGGCTCAGGTTGTGTTTGGCTCAGACTGCACAGTGTTCCTACTGGGCCACACGAAGGAGGTCGAAGAGCTGAGTGAAACTGTCACACAGTTTATTTTGGACCAGTCTTGTGTGCAAAGCATAGTCGATCTCCCTTTCCCAGAGTTAGCACAAGAGTTACCAGAATTGCTGCAGCTGCATGGTTTTGACTATTCAGGGGTTACCCTCCATACTTTAACATCTTCCTCTGGGCCTGTGGTGATGCTGGAAGGTCCATCCAGCAAAGTGACTGAGGTCAGGAACAACTTGGGTCCATTTTTGGACTCCCTTATTCAGGATAAAGGCGCTACTGGAGCAGTAAGAAATATCCGTACTCCCACTGGGAAAGATAAACTCGTAAGTGTTACACAGAATTTGGCATCTTTGAGTTTAAGTGAAGTTAACACCCTAGTTGCTAGCTACAGCCTTCGTGATGGACTCAAGGTTCTGGTGTGTCAGGGGGACATCACCAAACAGGTTGCTGACGCCCTGGTGAACGCTGCCAATGGAGACCTGAAACACTGTGGCGGTGTTGCTGCTGCACTGAGTAAAGCAGGTGGCCCTCAGGTTCAGAAAGAGAGCAGCGCTATAGTAAAGCAGACTGGGAAAATTCCTACAGGTGAAGTTGTAGTGACCACAGGGGGGAACTTAAACTGCAAGAAGCTGCTGCATGCCGTTGGGCCTGTAGGTGGAGAATCAGGTGGCAAAGAAAGGTTGTTATTAGAAAAAACTGTCCATTCTGCTCTGAATTTAGCAGAAATGATGGAGTTTGAGTCTATAGCCATGCCCTGTATCAGCTCAGGTGTGTTTGGTGTTCCTGTCACTGTGTGTTCTGAGGCTATCGTGACTGCTGTTAAGGAGTTTGGCAGTCAGGGAGGGCGAAGTCTGAGCAGAATCATCCTGATTGATAACAGAGGAGAGGTGGTGCGGGCCATGCAGGAAGCATGTGACAGGCTTCTCCAAGAGATAAGTCCTGGAAACCAACCAAGTGATGTGGGGTTCCAGATCAATACTGCCCAAAACACTGCAATAGGAGCCACAGCTGGAGCTCCTGGAGATGGTGTCCGTGTGGAGATCATTCAGGGAACCATCGAGACCCAGCAGGTGAGAAACGTTTTTAAGAGAAAATGGATTAAACCTGTTCAGACTAGAGATTTTCATATTGTATCAGTGATTATATTGGAGGATAATAACAACTCTTAATAGCACGACTCCTGTTTTGGATACCTGCATGAATGCTTTTCCATGACAGGCATGGTATTATAAATGTGTACACAGCATTTTTTTCAGTCACCCATCTCAGGTACATCAGATATGCTTCTATTTGAAATTATCCTGGTATCTACACAGGCCACACAACAGCTTGTGTTCAACTTGTGTTATATGTGCACAAATCCAATCCTACAATTGGAATACCTACTGCTGGAATGTCCAACAGTAGCTCATGATATTTCTCTGCATCATAAAGGTGCGAATGTGATTCTGGATTCAGATTAAGAAATCCAATACCATGACAAGTACTATCATATAGAGTGAACAACGGCACAGCAAGAAATTTCACTGATGTTATCTAAGTTGTGGGTTAGCAAATTGTCGCTACGTGCTGCTGCAAAGCTAACATGAGAGGACGAGACGGTTCCAGAGGAACACAGAAGCTCCAGACTGCGATACTCACAACTTACCTGCAGCTATAGCTAACCTCACAACAGCATGTCTTGGTGAGACTAGAAAGTAAGCTGCATATCCGTGGGCAAGTCATTAAACGTTCCCTAATACACATGGCTAAAAAGACAGTATACAGTATATCGTCATATCGGACAGCCCTAATAGTAAGTATAGAGATAAGTTGAAAAATCTGTGGATTGTTCAAACACCATCACATCACCTGCTCTCCTCCCAGGTGGATGCTCTGGTATCGCCCATGGTTGGCCATGATCCTCTCACTACCCGTGTTGGAAACACTTTGTTCAAAATAGTTGGACCCCAGCTGACAGCAATGTTTAGAAAGGAAGCAGAAGAAGAAATGATGCCTGGTGACACAGTCCTGGTAGAGGGTTTGCCTGGACTTCCATCTAATGCAGTGTTCTTCCCCAGCCTTGTTCCCTGGGATGATGACGACGATGGGGCTGCAGTTCAGGTAAAATAGAGGAGGAGTGTCTCAACTTGTTGTGTTTGTTTGTGAATACTGAGTCAGAAGCTGTTTCCCAGTCCTCTACACCATACTAATGTGTTTCCTATGCCTAACCTTAAAAATATCTAAATTCTTTCCAGGTTCTGAGACTGTGCATCAACAAAATCCTAACTTCTTGTGAGAACAGAGGGTTTGGATCTGTTGCGTTCCCCGTACTCGGGGCTGTGATTGCTCTGCGTTTCCCTGACAACGTGGTAGCCAGGGTTCTACTGGAGGAGGTCCATGAGTTTGAACAGAACCGAGCCGGCAGAACACCATTCATGGTCCGCATCGCCATCCACCCCAATGATGAAGAGTCTGTTGAGGTAATGAAAATGTGCACAGACACAAATTTATAGAGGCCAAATAATGATCCTAATGATAATGAGAGTGATTTAATTAGTGTGTCTTGATACCAGCACTCAAAAATAACACAATTTTATAAATGGCAAATCTATTCAAAATTATTACATGTAAATCTCATGGTTGAATAGTGTTGAAGTAATTAAACAGTATAACATATTTTGTGCACAAGATGCGGAATGGAATTGGTATAAACCCAATACTTCCTTGTCTCTACAGGTCTTCAAGTCTGTCCAGGAAACTTTACAACTCAAACGATTCACAAAAGATGTTCACCAACCCGACCATGGTGGGTATAGATATTATATCACAGAAAATAATCGGAATTCAGTCCTGTGGTACCCATTTGCTGTGCTTTTTAAATTAATATGTTACTTATTTACACCCAGATGTATTTGATTTGGCTATAATACAGTAAAGTGTAAATTATCTCCTAGCATACAGTATTTGTTGATTGGGTGTAGGGGTGGGCGATATGGCAAAAATATCATGTCACGATTTATTTCAGGCAGGATCACGATCATGATCTTGATCTTATCACAATTCAATTTCATTTCAAAAGATAAATATAACACTACTTTATTAATCGTTTACAATGTTGAATAATGATTCATTCAAACAGCAAAGAACTGATTCCTCGAGGCAGCGAGGCAGCTGACGTGCGATGTTGACAGAGCAGCTGTCAACTGCGTGTATGAGCCATAGAACTAAACTGATTGTGCACTGTAGCGCAATACTAACGATCTCTCTGAAAAGGCAGATTGTGGACACATTTTAATATTTTACAATTTAATATCATAATATTGCACACCACTACTTGGGTGAATAGCAGAAGCTTTCTTTACTGGAACAATTCAGGTGATCTGTCAGTGTTATGAAATGTATGTGACTGCTGTAACTCACCATGTCACAGATTTATATGGACATGGTTTATTGTTTATTTTCATCCAAATTAGCCATTGAGATTTCCCCTTGTCATTGTTCTCTTGTAGTGTCAACTACAAAGAGGATTGTCCTGCTGGGAAAAACTGGATCTGGGAAAAGCAACCTAGCTAACACCATATTTGGAGAGAAATTATTCACCACAAACCATTCACCCAACTCTGGAACAAGAACATGTCAATCTGAAACCAAATCTGTCAATGGAAGAAGCGTCACTTTGATCGACACTCCTGGTTTCTTTGATGCAGAAAGGTCTGAGGACGACATGAAGCCTGAGATAGTGAGCTGTATCACAGAGTGCGCTCCTGGGCCTCATGCTTTTCTCATTGTGCTGAAAGTGGAGAAATTCACAGAGCAGGAGCAGGCTGTCATCAACAAAATATGTCAATATTTCTCTGAAGATGCTCTAAAATATGCTGTCATTGTCTTCACTCATGGTGACCAGCTCCGTAAAGGGATGAAAATTGAAGAGTTTGTCAATCAGAATAAGAATCTGAGTGACCTGGTGAAGAGGTGTGGAGGCCGGTGCCACGTCATTGATAATAAATACTGGAAGAACAAACAGCAGAACAACTACAGGAGTAACCAGTTCCAGGTGGAGGACCTACTCAACACAATAGACAAGATGGTGATGGAAAACAATGGGGGCTGCTACACCAATATGATGTTTGAAACAGTAGAGAAAGAAATACTGAGAGAGGAAGAGAACATTAGACAGTCATCAGGAAACCTGCCAGTGGAAGAGATCAGAAAACAGGCTAAAACCAGAGTGTCCGAGAGGTTTCTGATCCAACTTGCAGGTACTGCAACAGGAGCAGTGTTTGGAGCTTTTTTTGGTGTGGCAGCCATGGTCCGGTTAGTTTTCACAGTTATAACTAACTTTAAAGGAATAATGACACTTCCAGCAGTGGGAGGAGTGGTGGTAGGTGTGTCAACAGCAGGCTTGGCTGCAACAGGAGGAGTAATGGGTGGTATGATTGGACACAATGCAACTGAGGGAGCAAAAACACCATTGGAGGCAGCACAGAAGGCAGCTAAGGCTGTCATGGACAAAAGAAAAGATACACTTAAGCTGATTTAGCTTTGTTTTGCCACCTGGGGGCAGCGGAACAACATGAAGACATGAAGACTTAACAGGTACTTTTGACTGATGAAGTCAAAGGCACCTATTATTTTTTATAAGTTGTTGTGCTACAGTAACCTATTTACATATCTAGCAGTTATAGAGCAGCATTGGCATTCATTTGGAGTTATGTTTCTGGCCACCCGGCGGTCATGTTTATCCAACATTCACTCTCCTTTTATCTCTGCTTTTGGCTCCACTAACTACAGGTTTAATTATCTGCTCTGTAGCTGCTAAATGCTCTACTATGATCACCAGCTCGTCACTATTTTTGTCTGCCGTTTGGTGCTGAGCACGTAGCGTACAGAGAATTCTGCTGAAAAAAACCGCTTGCCGAAGTGGAAACAATGATTGATAAGAGTTTGCTGGATAGAAACCCAAAACAGTGAGCTTAAATAAGTTAACAAGTCTCCACACATCTGAATAGTCGGGTGATAAATTTTCGTGGGTTTGATACTACGAGCGACAATGACTTTCACATCACTCATAGTCACTTTATCCATTGTAAATGCAAAAATAAAATAAAATGTATTAGTGCAGCTTTAACTACAGGGAACAATCTTTGGGGCAGTGACCTGAAAAAGGTTATTGTTCCTTTGTAAATTACTTGTAAATACTTACTTCTGATCAAAGAACACTGGCCTTATGTCATCTTTATATATTTGCAATGTGTAAAATAAATGTATTTAGGAAATAAAGCAACATAAACAATATTTCGTTATCTCACAGCGATGGACTCATAACTTAATGGTGTTGGTTGACTTATTTTTACATTGTGTATTTGTTAAAAATCTATTTTAACAAAATAAAAGCATTCAATACTTGTTGCTATAATTTCTCTTTTGTCCATTTTGTTTAATTATTGGGGAGTGGATGTCCTGACTAGTTTTGACTAGTATTTTTACACTGCACCTGCAAGCTCTGATCAGCAGGGCAACAGCAAGCCTTCCACAGGGATGTCAGAGGTCAAGTTACAGTTCTGCTATATAGGGCTTTTCTCAAACCATAACCTCCATACTCCATCGGGCTTGCAGCCTACTGTTTGTTGTCACATTCACAGCTGAATCAAACACCCATCATCAAGTTGTAGAGTTTAAATCTAAAGCAGCGAGCTCCAGCCTTTCTGGCAGAAACAGGAAAGTTTATAACCATGGTTTCGTATCTGCATCTTTTCTAGCTACTTTTTTTTTTCAAGTAGAAATTGGCTATAGGCTCCTTAGAAAACTGAGCAAACAGTGTAAACAGAATTTTAGAAAAAATAAAACAATTATGGCTGGGCACGTTAATGTGTTGTTATGGCATTAACGCATTAATTACTTAATTAACACCGACAATTATTTTATTGCACGTTAAGACAGTTTTATTTTTTAATTATTATTATTTTGAAAGTCCATTGCTTACTGCCTCTGAATATATATACAGTCAAACCATGGGTCACAGGAGGGGTGGGATGTTGATCAGCCTGCAAATCATCCACCCAAAGAAGCAGCAGAGGGAGGCTTCAGCAGACTACGCTGGATGCAGCGTGTGGGAGAAGTAAGACAGCGCTCCGCGAGTAAACAGCAGGCGCTCTATTGACAGGAACCATGGCAACGGCTTCTGTGCGCTACACAGCGCTCCGCGAGTAAACAGCAGGCGCTCTATTGACAGGAACCATGGCAACGGCTTCTGTGCGCTACACAGCTGTAACCTGTTTAATTTAAGTTAAAATTATAGGCTACATAACTTTACCTGATAGGCCTACCTCTAGTTTTGCGGGGATGCTCTGCCATGCGAATTCCCTCCTGTTGATGTCCTCATATTTATTTAGTTAAACAGTAATAGATTCTAGAAACTCACAAACAGCAGGATCAGTCTCTCTTCCAATGATTTGTGCTGTGTGTCCCGTACAAAAAGTTCAAGACAATTCAACTTCGGCAGCAGGCGGCACGTGTGTGCGTGCATATTAAATTTATATTAAAAGTGCAAGAAGATTGCAAGAAAATCATGCGATTAATCGCGAATAAAACTTTTACCCAGCACTAAATGAAATAAAACAAATATTGGATCTATAATATTAAGGCATCAATAATGTTCAGTAGTTTTTTCTTGTTTTCTTTTTCATATACTTAAGTGTTTAGCAGTGCAGTGCTAGTTCCCAGCACACCGAGAGTAGCCTTTCACAATTTTATTATTTTTTTGCTTCAAAAGTAAAACATTTGCACATTACATTTTATGTATTCCAAGGGTCAAAAGTCTCTACATTGTTTATAGACATTGTTTGCGTTAGTCGGATTACGCAGGTTTTAAGTTTCACTCACATGGTTTTGAGGTAAGCTATTAACACAGTATTTTAGATTATAAACAAAGTCACAATTCTATTTGTTTAAATAGGAAAAAGTGTCCAGTGGATGCCTAGCATCTGTGATAATGTTAGGACTAAAATGAAAGTGTTTTTTTTCCCTTCTAAGCTTAATTGTCTTTATTATTTACAAGACAGTTTAGCTACAGTTGAAGAAAATAAAACAGCTGTCTGTCCAACATTAGGATGTGATTTAAGCTGTGATAGATGTCACCCAATCTCCTAATATTAGACAATTTTAAGTATCTTTTTTTATTTTCTACTTTCATTCTATGTAGGTCACCATGTTATTTCAATAAAATAAATGCTCTTTTTCTCCTCTCTGGCAACGCGGCAGGTTATTGCATTTGCTGTCCTTACGAGCCACAGAAGAATGAAAAGAATAGCCTAAATAATCACTCATGCATTTGTAACATTTTGTAACTGAGAAAGTTTAAAACAAAAACAATAAAGTAAATAATCACTCACGCATTTGAAACAGCTTGTTCTGAGAAAGTTTAATTGCCATTATTATTTACTATAAGACACCCCCTCCGTCCTCTATGGGACACACCAAACACCTCTTTTCACAACTAGGTGTTACCGCATGTCAGAGACTCACACACCCACATCCCATATTATGCAGTCATACCAACACAAGAGGAAGCAAGATTCTGTGCATTATATGCTTTAAAATCCGTCTTGATATTTCTCCCAGCATACTGATGAGGCATAAGGAACCTCATACTCTATAAGGCGATGGTGCAATGGATAAGAATATGCTTTTGGTGTGAGAGACCTGGGTTCAATCCCCCAATGTGACCCATCCACCATCGTGTCCCTGAGCAAGACACGTAACCCCTAGTTGCTCCAGAGGTGTGTGACCTCTGACATGCATAGAAATTGTAAGGCGCTTTGGATAAAAGCGTCAGCTAAACAAATAAATGTATATGTAATATCATGATTTTCACAGGTGCCTTAAATGTTTGTGTTGCGCAACCACCCCTACACCCTGTGCAAAGCCAAACTTATACTACTGGTCAAAAGTGCTTAATTTCAGGAATTGTTTTTTAGAAAAGGTGTAGCTTGAAGTGATGAAGTGCAGTCTTAACCAATTTTATACTAAACACTCAACACATCTTAACAAATGAACAGCTGTAATGCCTCCTCTTCTCTTTCATTCCCTCTCATAGAGTTACCACTTTCCTACTTTCTCTTGTTCAGTGAGAAACGTGAGCTCTAGCTTGTCCTGCCAGCTAGCACTGAAGATCTATGAGATATTCTGGTTTTAAACTGCCCGTGGGAGGAATGTACATGTAAAAAATCTGTACATTTTTGATTAAAAGCCATGTGAAATCTCTTCTCTCATTCGCCTCCTCACTCCCTGTGTTTCTAAAACGTCTCCGGTGTATCGCACTCGCGGACTCGCAATGCCTGTTGGAATGCACAGATTTGATTGGGTGAGCAGCGTCACATGAGACGATTAGAGCACACGCGATTGGTCTGTGACTTTCCTAGGCCAGTACAGTAAATGCTAGAAAAGCCGCGCAGGTTACAAAAACAGAAACGCTCTGTCACGAGGTAGTAATTTTCTAGCTTCTGAAAACTTAACTCCTTGTGTCCTTGGAAAGCAAATTCAGACATATGTTAGCGTGTTAGTGATATTCAATGATGGAGAATGATCGCAATGGTAGGATCTTCTCCAGACAACAACCCATTTGTTTTGTAATAGATGCCATTAGAAAATGCCCTGAACTGTGTTTCATCAGTACTCTGAGCATCTCCATCATGCAAGATCAAATCCTGGAAATCCTGGATCTCTTTCCGGGTCACTACCTGATAAATAAAACATACTGGAAACTTTCGTTGTCCTCCCTACTGAGCACATACTCCACTGGTTCCACCACAACAAACTGCTCCTTAAAATTTTAAGTTGTATCAGAATAGTAACCAAAATGCAAAATCTTTTAATGTCATATCTAACATCTCTTTCTGCATGTTTTGCTTAGACATAAAATAAAGTGAGCAAGACAGACAAAAAAGAAAGCAGTAGCACTTTTATCTCTCTCACAGAAATGTCCACAGTTTTGGTCAAACAGCAACTTGCCTTTACAGTGGAACTACATGGACATCTATGTGTATGAACAATAGATTTTTTGAAATGGTAAAATGTCACCATGAAATGTCCTTTTTTATCCAGTTTCTTCAGCCTACAAGTGCAGTGGCTGTGTGGCGACTGTGGCTCAGGAGGTAGAGTGGATTGCCTGTTAATCAGAAGGTTGGCGGTTCTCCTCCAGGCTGCATGTCAAAGTTGGGCAAGATAATGAACCTGAATTGCCCCTACAGATGTGTGTGAATGCAGATGTATTGTAAAGTGAAAGTGGTTGAAAACACTAGAAAGACATGGAACATTCAGCGGTCGAAGAATGGGCCCCAGTGCAGTGTTGTGATAGGCCCTTGGGCTACACCACTGTTAGGAAGCACACGTAAACATACACTGTGTTTGTGTCTAAAATGAACTATATTGGCAAATGTATGTGCCTTATTTCCTCATTTTGCCACAACTGATACACGACGACCACATTCCTCTTCGACAGAGAGGCAAGACATTATGGTGGTGAATAAGAAAGAAAAGTAGCCAACTTATAAAACAACACCATGTTCTGGAAACAGGCCAGCTACAGCGCACACACAATTAAACAGGTAGGCCTACTCAGCGGCGACCTGACCACGAAATGATAACAGCCTTTAAATCAGCGGCACAGCAGCCACACCACATTCAAGCTGAAAAAGTACTTGTAAATTTACTCACCTATTTGAATGGCATTTGACGAGCCTGCATTGAGCGAGATCTTTGACAATGTCTGCAGTAATCCAAAACAGTGTAATTTGGGTGCTTTGCGACCCTCTCCTCCTGTTCTTTTCTCTCCTGTCTCTCCTTGAAACTACTTTTATGTGTGAATAGCATCGACTTTCAGCTTGCACGTGTGGTCTGTTAGTCTACTGGCTAGATTTTGCTAGAATAGAATAGAATACCATTTTATTGTCCAGCCAAGGCTGGAAAATTGTCTTTGGTCTCACCAGACCTATAAAAACATGACTATACAAACATGAACATAATACAAACATAATACGAACATAATATAAACATACCAACATCATATCACATCGGTGCCGCCGATCACATCCTAGTCCTGTCGTCTTGTCACATGATCAAAAAGAAATTGGGTAGATTGTGTAGTCATTTACATATTACCCAGCAATCATCACTGCATATGTAGCTGTGTGACACGAATACCAAAGAAAATAAGACTAAAATTATTCTGTTGAAACTGTGGAATCTGTTTTTTTTATAATTCACCGTATACCTTAGCATACTGCTTGCTACAGACTTGTGTGTGTAAAACTACTGACTGCAGTCTGTAGTTTTACACACATAAGTCCGTGGCATGTGACACCACGGTCAAAGAGGCACATGCACATATGATGTTATATATAGCACTTGATCAGCAATTAGCATTATGTTATGAAGTGAAAAAGGAAAAACTGATGGGTGAATTTGATTTATTTTTAACTTGTAACTGTCATAGAACAACCGGGCCGCTCCAACCCGTGAAGTACTCCCAGTACAGTCTGGGTTCCAGTGCAGCTGCACTGTCTGCACTGGCTACACCTACGCCCCTGGGAGCATTTACATTTACACGTCTGCTAACACACAGTCTTACTGTGTTATTTGTCTAAGCATCCTAAGTGGGTAGAGGAGGGGACTTGAAATCCTGAAGTCAAGATGAAGAGAAATTAAGTTATCAAGCCAATTTTATAGTTAGTAACATTATTATTTGAACAGAACTCTAAAAAACAGAAAAATAATGTTTGCAACTTAGAATGTATATAAAAATAAATTAGATTTTTTATCTTGCAGCTATGCAAGTAATCAAGTGGTGGTAACAGATCCCCTGAATTACTTTTTAGAGTGTTCAAAACAGTGTGTGACAATAATAAAGATACATACTACATACTATTTAAACAATACAGAAAATATAATACATTATTTTTTGTTTTTCTGCCTCTCAGCAACATGTGAATTATGCTCAACATTTCAGTCTCTTCAATAGCTTGAAAGAACAGCTAACCCACTGAAGCTCTAGGTATGTTTTTTTCACAGTTGTGTTTGTTTTCAGCCTCCATGCTCTTGCAGTTCTTCACATGATGGTCAGATCAAGGTACTGATGAATTTGGATGATTTATGGCTTCTGATCGTCTGGTATCACTTATCTAATCTTGTCATAAAAATAATCATTTGTTAAAAGAAACCTTATTTTTCTGGGTCAGAATGGATTCATACATGGAAATGTGGTCAGTGGTTCTGAGTTTACTCAATACACAATAAAAACCTCAGCTGCATAATGCTATTGTTGGAAACCTCCAAAACTGTCCAGAATAAAATGTAAAATAATACATTTCAGGGAGCAACTACGTACATAAAAAAATGATTTTTAAAATAGACTTCCTCATGTATTGACTATTATGTTTATGTTTTTTTCATCAGGTAATGTGAAAGGTAACATTTCAATGATGACCTAAATCATATGAAATCATGTGACATTCTGTTAGTGGCTCCTTATTTATGTTTGACTCCATGTTAAAAAAAAAATATATATATTAACCTACATATCATATTTTATCCCATACATATAAACACCACTAAATGTCATTCCCCTAAACCAATATATTAAACTGCTCTAGTGGGCAGGTGCTGCACTTCCTGTATTTACAGTGCTCAGAGAGTCTTTTATGGTTTTGTTTATATGCCTGATGTCTTCATAGACAGAGTAATACACCCACTTTACATAATTGTTCATATTATCTTTAGAAAGTAGCTTAAGTCATAATCCTTGATGAAACTCAAAGAGTTTATTTGGTTAGGTCTACAGTATGACTTTTTCGTCTTCAGTTTTACAGCAAGTTTCAATGGAAAAGATGGAAAAACTACCAGAGAGGACTTTAATACAGTGTGTAATACATTGATTTATTGTTTTTTACATTTTAAGTATTAAGGAATAAAAAGAAAAATCATCCTCTAACATGTCACAAAGTCTCCATACACATATTTTTCATTTGTCAGCCATTTCATTAAACAATTTCAATAAACCTTTATTGTATAGCACTATTCCCTACCCTCCTTCATTAATCCTGTTGGTCAGTCATCTACTTCTTAGAAAATTTTACAATGAAATAATAATTATGCTGTAGCAACTTTGTACAAGTACAATACATGTTTTACACACATACACAATGTTTTCTCCGGGTGCTCCGGCTTCCTCCCACCGTCCAAAGACATGCGGATGTGAGTGTGGCTGGCTGTTTGTCTATGTGTGGCCCTGCGATGGATTGACCTGTCCAGGGTGTACCCACCTTTTGCCCAATGTCAGCTGGGAGCCCAGCTCCAGGCCCGCGCGAGCCTGTACGCAGGAGAAGCGGTTGATGATGGATGGATGGATGGTACTGTAACTGAAGGTGTAGCTGACATGCACCTCCTTAGAAATAGGTGACTAGTCTGCTTAGACGGCTTTGGATTTTCTATTACATGTGTTCAGTGTGAGTGAAGACAACACTTAGTGGGTAAAGGAAATGTAATCTTGTCGCTGCCAATTACACTGAAGATTTATGTTTTGGGATCTAACAAAGTCAGGTCCGTTGCAAACTTTCCCCCTCACCTCACCATTCTATCTTAATGTTATAATATAAAAAAGAAAATAATAAAACACTACTTTATGAATGTACAAACTGGTGTGGTGGCACTACAACAATGAATTGGTTAAATCTTATGCTGAACTATAATTTCTACACTCTGTCTACCTGTGGTAGATCATCACAACATCCGTAAAGGAGAAGCATACATTACATACTTCTATAATAGCAGGAATAATACCACTATTAACAAAAATGATAGTAACAGAAGTAACCATAAGAACAGGGTCCCTACGATTGGTACTTTCAGAAAAAATGATAATAGTAGCAATGAGTAGAAGGCAATCACCAGCAATGTGACTCTAATATGTCGTAGTAAAAAATCTCTGAATTGATATATTTTATTTCGTATCCATACTACGGCTCCTGTTATTAAGCTCCCAGTTGTGAGTAATGTTGTTACAACTGCTGTGCCTGCTGCAACTACTGCTGCTACTACTACTGTACCTACACCACCTGCTACTCCTGCTCCACCTGCTAATGCTGCTAGTAGTGCACCTACACCTGGTACTGCTAATAATAAACCTGCATATGCTGCTGCTAGTAGACTACATATAAACTTCATAAATCCGCCACCTCCTGCCCCCCGTTCTCCTCTTTCTGCTTCTTTTTCTATTCTTGTTGCTTTTTCTTTTGCTTCTTTGTCCGTTTCTGTTACTATGTCTCCTTTTTCTGATGCTGTTCCTGTTGCAACTGCTTCTTCCTCCTCTACTTTTTTTTCTTCTGCTGCTCTTTTTGCTGCTCCTTCAGTTTCCTGCAGAACTACGGCAGCTGGTCCACACAAAGCCTCCGCCAATGATTTTGCTGCAGGGCCTGTTAATTTAATCCACACATTCTTCGATACACTAAACTTATTGCTAGTGTATCCTTTTGCCATGTTTCCCACTGATGTTGTGTTGCCCCCTTCCTTTATTTCTCTCTTCACTGCTTGTAGCATCTTATTGGTGTAGCAGCTTCCTTTGTTTTCCATCACTATCTTGTCTGTTGTGTTGAGCAGCTCTGCCACCTGGATGTTGTTGTTCCTGTATCCATCCTGTTGGTTGTTCTTCCAGACTACATTGTCAATAACGTGGCACCGGCCACCACACTTCTTCACCAGATCACCGAGACATTTATTCTCATGAACAAACTCCTCAATTTTCATTCCTTCAGGGAGCTGGTCGCCATGTGTGAAGACAACTACAGCATATTTGAAAGCTTCCTCTGGAAAATGTTCAATAATTTTAGTGACAAGCCTGTCCTGCTCTGAGTTAGCCACTTGAAGCACAATGAAAAAAGCATGAGGCCCAGGAGTGCACTCTGTGATCCAGCTCACTATCTGACGCTTCATGTCCTCCTCAGGTCTGTGTGTGTCAAAGAAACCGGGAGTGTCGATCAAAGTAATTCTTCTTCCATGAACAGATTTGGACTCTGCTCGGCATTCGCTTGTTCCACAGACGGGGGGATTCTCTCTCTTGAACACGTCCTCTCCAAATATGGTGTTTGCTAGGCTGCTTTTCCCAGCTCCAGTGTTGCCCAGCAGGACGATCCTGTATGCTTTTAGCACTAGAAGAAAGTAATGACATAAAATGAACATTGTGAATTTGTGTTCAGCTGGTATCAAAGTGTGTCGAGATGTATCTAAAGATATAATAGGTGGTTATTGTGCACATTAACTGATTAGGGTGAATCTAAAGCATCTGAAAATAAAAGCATATTTTCATTGTCCTCATTTGTAAGGCAATTTGTAAATTCTTTTTATAAGCTCTACTAGTTAACTGATCATCTTTCTGACATTTATTAGATATCTCAGCCAATGGTTCGTACATAATGATGTGGAGTCTATAAATAGCTGCAACCATGTGTAACACGGTCACACATAAATTGGTATAAAAGCTTTATAAATCTCAGGAAAATGATGTACATGTATATTTCTGTCTTGGTACATACATTAAGTAGTGAATCTGCAGAGAGTTTTATATTATCTGGCCCCAACTCTCTGGAGTTTCCAATTTTGCACACGAGAAAACCATGAGCACCCGAATGAGGGCTTTTGTGGTACACCTCCTCAGTATGTCCAGCCCTGTGTGAATTTGTGTTCAGCCGGTATCGAAGTGCGTCTAAATGTATCTAAATATATAGTAATCGATAATTATTAGAGCATGAACTTGTTCATTTTACCGGTAAAGGCTTGTAAGGCTTGCTATTCTGTGTGTTCAGGCCTAAAGGAAAGGTGGTATTGTGCAAATTAACTGATTAGGGTGAATCGAAAGCATCGGAAAATAATAGCATCTTTTCATTTTATCCTCAATTGTGAGGCAATTTGTAAATTATGTTTATAAATTCAATGAGTTAATCATCTTTCTGCTATTAATTAATAATGATTGAGGTATCACCACTAATTGTTTATACATAATGATGTGGGGTTTATAAATAGCTGCAACTATGTGTAACACGGTCACACATAAACTGGTATGACAGTTTTATACATCTCAGTAGTAGTACACAGTGTTGGGGTAGTTACTCAAAAAAGTGAAATCGCCCTTTTTTCATTTTAACAAATAAAATATATTTTTTTCAAATCTAAAAAAGTGTTTCAGACAGCAGTAAGAGGTGCAAAAAACTGAGAATCAGTCGCTCAGCAATGTAAGTTAACTTTCACTTAAGTTCCCCTTAACTGCAGAATTGCACGCGGGTTAGGGAGCTCGATTTGGCTGTGAGGGTGACTCCAACCAGAGTTCACTCCGTATCGGAGTGGAAGTGGCGAGGGTCTAGCCATAGGCCCAATCCACACTACTCTGTTTTAGTTGACAAACAGAGAATTAGCGATCTCTGTCTGTGATAGCTGCATATCAGAGGTGATCTTTGTCTACATTAAAACAACTGAAAATGCCCGTCGGTGCACACATGAAGCAGATGGTCTCTTCCGTAGTTAGATAGAATATTTGGCGAAAGAATAAAGAAATTCAGACGAAGACTCAGACCAGATTTTTTTGCACCAACAAACTGAATGTAATTGAATCCCAGTCTGTTTTCCACTGTGGCGGCAAAAAAAAAAAAGTTGCAAAGTAAACGGCAATAAGTAGCCTAGAGTGTAGGCAAATAGGCCTAAGTGATATCTGCACAGTACAGAATAATTTAATAAAAATACCAACTCAAAAACTCAGTAGCACTGTGTGTCCGCTTTGCATGACTTATAAGACCCAATTAGAGAGCTGAGCGTCTGCGTCATCGTTTCTAAAGTCCTCCGTTTTAGGTCTTCGTTTTCGCCGTTTTAGCCTGGACGAGAGGTAAACGTAGCAAAAGGTCTCCGTTTTAATTCGAAAATGCAGAAGTGTGGATGGGGCCGTAGACATAGACAGACTCGACGAAGTCACCCCGCTCATTTGAATGGAGAGCAGTGAAGCCAGTTTTGGACCAATAAAATACTACCAATAAACTACTTCCTGTCGTCTCCAGTGTCTACTGCGCATGATCACGCAGCATGGTTTAATGACGTAGAGCAACAGCAGAAACACCGTAATTCTGGTAGCTGCATGGCTGTGGCAACAAAAAGTTTCATGGCTCAGTGTGTTTGTCTGACTCAGATCTTCACTGTTTAATCAGCCCACCTAAGGTTCACCTGCCAAACAACAATGCAGCGTCACGGATGGTGAAATAGTTTTTTTCAGATTGCAGAGAGTTTATAATCTAAGCAATATGGTTACATCTCTCATGTGCGATGGGATATCACAGGTTTTGAAGTCATTTTTGTGCCTACATGAATCCCTCCATGCAGGCTCTTTGGTCGCCTTGACTGGCTTACTCACTTTGGTCTAGTTTTGGAAAGGCCCCAGTAATACATAAACAGAATGGAAGTTAACTTTGGGCCGGGCGCATCACCTTGGCAAAGCGTCCGATGAAAGCGTCTATACACAATTAGAAAACAATGAGCACCCTAATGAGGGATTTTGTGGTACACCTCCTCACAGGGGTGTACTGGGACTGAAATTCAGCCCGGGACTTTGAGACAGAAATATTTTTTGGAGTTATTTTAACATGTTAGTGTTTTTGTTGTAGCCTACTGTGAATCAGATGAAGACTTTCAAGAAACTTCGGATGACACCTGCCTCTTCAGTTTGTATAAACAAGGAACCACTATACTAAACAAGACCAGGTCAGGCAAGCCTGAGTCAATCAGAGTGCTAAAATAGTTAATGCATTCCCATACAATACAGCAGTGTGTTTGATAAAAATCAAATCCCTCATCTTCAGTTCAGAGTTGGCCTCTCCCTGGCTCAGCTTCCCTGTGCTTTTACTGATTGAACAGCTACATATGCCCAAGAAGAACATCAGTAATAATCTGACTAACAATAATACATTTTCTAATTCTATCTATGATTGCCTACTCAATCCTGCACACTCACCCTGTGCCTGTCACTGTTTTGTCTGGTTCCATTGACCTCCCTATCCTCCTCCTGTTCCTTCTCTTCCTCATCGTCAACATGACTAGGGTCATCATCACCCTGTCTCTCTCATCACCTCCACTGACCTTAACACCTCATATACATAAAAACATACAGATTCCTTGCTTACAGAAGGATGTTGTCTTTGTGTGATAAAACATTGCAAACTGTTGTTTATAATATAGGCTATATAAATATATAGCCTAATGTATATACCTATTCATTAATGCATATATAAATTATTTCAGTATATAATAAATGCATTAGCCTCCTAATCGTGCACCTGTTTCTGCCTGTGCAGGGTCCTGCCTCACCTGCTACAGCAACCTCTCTGCCAAGAAGTTAGTTAATTAGGCACATTTAGTTGACAACATTTATTTTTTCTTAATTCTTATTTTTTTGGCACCACACGTTTCTTTCTCCTCTCTCTTTTTGTCACATTTACACTCTCTGTTGGCTTATCACACAACCCAGCGCATTCCTGAACGTCTTAATGGGCAGCCCACCCCTGCCTCCTCAGTATGTCCAGCTCTGACTTGCTTTTGCTCACTTGCAAGTAATTCATCTTTTTTTTCCAAATATGTACCTTTGATGCTTTTCTCAGCTTGGGCTGTTCTGGCAACGTCAGTCCTTGTTGGTGACACTAGAAGAACAAAATGATTAAGAGTAACTAATACAGCTTGTTTTAAATAAATGTCACGTAGAATCTCTGTGAAATGGGAGAACACTGGATTACAAGCATTACTGACAAATCAACTAACACAGAATATGCTCTAAAGATTAGTTTATAACTGTGACTATGGCTTCATATTGTGTATTTGGTTGTTTCCTATTGCAGTGTTTTCTAATTGAATAGCCTATACAGGACATAGAAGAATATTTAATGGATTATAATATCTTTAATTCTCTTTTGTTCTTCAAATTTTGCTTGACTTGTGGACAACATGTCACAAAAATCCTCCCATTGTTATTTCTGTTCCAATAATGACTTTTACCTGACACTGTTGTAACTCTTGCTGTTGTTCCTCCTCTTCCAGTGACTTCCAGAACTTTGTTTTCAGCCTCTTGTCCCAGAGGTGTTACCATTATCGTGGTGTCTTCTTCTTCTGCTCCTCTTTTCGCTCCCTTGTTTTCCTGCAGAAGTAGGAGAGCTTGCCCTAAGAAAGCTTTTGCAAGGGATTGTGCTGCAGGGCCTGTCAACTTGATCCACATGTTCCTAGAGACGGTATTGCTTCCTTTGTTTTCTATCGCTGTCTCGTCTATTGTGTTGAGTTGCTCAGCCACCTGGAACTGGTTGCTTCTGTAGTTGTGTTCTTCTTTATTCCTTCAGTAGGCCTATTTATTAACAACGACGTGACACCGGCCACCGCACTTCTTCACCAGTTCGCTCAGATGTTTATTCAGACAAACTCTTCAATCTTGTCAGCACTAGAGGAAACAAATGGCAATGTAAAATGAATACTGTACAATAGGCCAATAATTCCAGTAATTCCAGTAAAACAAATGTATGGTGTAGTGGCAGAACTACAACAATTATGAATTATGTTCAACATTTAGGCTAGACCAGAGGTCACTAATTGGTGGACCGCGGTCCGCATATTGACCCAGCTGCTGTCCTCTTCGGACCGCCGACCTACTGCCGATTTATTACAGAGAATTACTAACTCGTGACGGAGCGTTTCTATTTTAACCTGCGCAGCTTTTCTAGCATTTACTGTACTGGTTTAGCGGCCCAGGAAACTCACAGACCAATCGCATGTGCTCCAATCGTCTCATTTGACGCTTCTCAGCCAATCAAATCTGTGCATTCCGGTGCTTGCGAGTCGAGTCCGGTGCTTGCGAGATTCACCAGAGACCAAGACTGTACAGATTCTTACATGTAGACTACATTCCTCCCACGGAAGTTTAAAACCAGAATATCTCACAGATCTTCAGTGCTAGCTGGCAGGACAAACTAGAGCTCACGTTTCTCACTGAACAAGAGAAAGTAGGAAAGTGGTAACTCTATGAGAGGGAATGAAAGAGAAGAGGAGGCATTACAGCTGTTCATTTGATAAGATGTGTTGAGTGTTTAGTATAAAATTGGTTAAGACTGCACTTCATCACTTTAAACTACACTTTTTATTTCATTTTTTCTAAAAAAAAAAAAAAAAATTAGGCACTTTAATTTAGTTTACTTAAATTTAGAATTTATTATTAGAGTAGTTGATGTGAAAACTGACAGTAAATAATCTTGAAATATTATTTGATTTGACAGTCAGTTGTTGACTAAAACATATGTTGATACAACTATGGTACTGAATGATAACGCAAGTTAGTCGTTTTGATGTTCCGGACCTTTGCTTCGGGAAATTTAATACCCCTGCTCTAGGGGTTGCGCGACAGGAAAAATTTAGCCTAATGGTGGTGTAGTAGTGTAATAGCCATTTTTGGGATTGGATTGAAAACTTTCTTTTTTAAGTTTAATTTAAAATTAAAAACGTTATTATTAATAGTTAGTTCACAGGGAATCACACACCTCTTTCCCTCTCCCTCTCTCTCTCTCTCTCAGGCTGAGCCCTCTGCGCGGTACTAACAAGTCCTCATATGGATCCTCTTTTAGTCCAAGTTATCTGTTTATCAGGTTTGTGAGAAAACAGCGGAGGTATGTTTTGAAACGTTTTTTTTTTTTTTTGTCATGAAAAAACCCTCCACCTCTCTCTGCACGGTTGGCACGCAGGTGAACTGTGGACTGATCACAGTATGAGAAAGTTTTACTGTCACTGTTACTTTTTAGAGTAGTAGCCTAAATATATAACGTTACATCGCGATCAGTGAAAAGACAGATGCATGCTGTGTTTAGGTAAGGGGAGAACGACTGATTTAAAAGCCGTCACTTTCAAGAGTGTCACTGAGTGAAACCCCGTAGCTGTGACTTTGGGCATGTTCACTGGTGGTTTAACAGGGCACTGCTGTTGTCCCTTTAGGTGAAACATTAAGCAAATGTGCTTTGTGTTTTGTGATGGGACAAATAGGCAATGACGTCTTGCTAGCACCATTATAATTATGTGTATCTGTTGTTTATCAGGGGCAGGGGCTACACCCTCAAAGATTAACACTTACAGACAATAAATTCATGCATGTTTTGTTTCTGGGGTGATTTATGTCTATACCCAAACAACACGCGCCGATTGGTCAAGTAGTTGAAGGGATGATTTTTTTTTTTTTAAATAACAGAAAGTGAAAGAGAGCATGAACATAACGGGGCAGGCTAAAAGAGAGAGAAAACCAAAAGTGAAATATTACATTGTTGCTCAGCAAGAGTTCTCAGATACAAATTACAGGGACAACTCTGCTGAAATGTTACCAGTATGATTAACTCAATGGTTAGTGAGTCAAATACCAAATATGTGACTCTCTTTCACTCTGCGTAGACTACTGTGTGCTAGGCTGCCACATTTACAATAGCCCAGACTGATTTTTTTTACAATAGTTAGCCTGCAGCATGTGATCCTAAGGATTATTTTCCCCTGAAAACACGTCATACGTATAGATTAAAATACAATGAGTATAGATTAAAATACAATGAGAAGTGTAAGTAAAAGATGTAACCTTAACTTACCGTCTATGTTGTAAAAAGAAAGATCAGTGAAGAGTAAACACCATTTGTATCTTTCAGAGAGCCACCCTGTGTGTTGTTCCTCCTGTCCACCTACGCTGTTTTATTCTAATTTCACTTTCACTTGATATTTGAATTGTGGGGGCAGGGCTTGAGGTGGGCTGGTAGGCTTTTCACAGATCTGCCACAATACGACAAATAGGATCTACCCAGGAGCAACTTTTAATTAGAGATCATAACATTCTGTTAAAAAAAGACCTATTGGCACCCATCTAAGTGCAGCACCTGTAAACTGTGAAACATGACTTATTTGTAGGATATTTCACAATGCAAAGTGTGTTACAGAAAGTAAAGTGGGCCAGATTTTGCAGCCAATCACAATTACTGATCTTGCATTGTTGGTACAACATTTAACAATAGTTTTGATCAGTCTGAGGTTTCTCTGGTGGGCGTGGAGTGGTAAGTGAGCTTGACATAAATTTCACTCATCATTATATGGGTGATAAAGCAATTACAAGTAAGTTAACTAAGAAAACAAAATGTTTATTAAATATGTTTTGACAAGCTCTTTCAAATAAAGAAAAGACAGAAGTATTAATGTTTACATAACATGAGTGATATGTGATACATAACATATAATTGTTGGTCTGTTGTCCCTTTTCATGCTGTGGATTAGCACAATATGCCGGGAATGGATCATGTCGACTGTGGACACACTATCAGAGTACCTGGTGAGTCTGCGGAACCATACTGGTTTGACCTTGAGCAACCAACAGGTCAGCACCATCATAGGCCTCTGGCAGAACCTGCTGCCATTTGACCAGCAACTGGTGGCGTTCGCTGCCAGGCACCAGGACAGGCTCAAAGCAGGAAAGTTCAGGTCTCCCAAGAAACAGGCATAGTTTACTGCTGGTGTGGAGAGCCTGAAGCGGTGTGTGCTGGGGTCCTCTGCCTCCCCTGCCCACTGGCCAGACTTGACTAGCTTAAGAAACATTTTTGTTAGACTCTGTCGTTTACACAGGAGTCCCAAAAAGAAAGAAAAGGGTGGGACCATGCCATTATATTCAATTTTACAAATATCAGGCCTTAAATCATTACATATGCTTATGCTTTCTGAATTAATAAAATCTTCATTTCAGTGTTGTCCAAAAAAGTAAATTCTACATACAAAACACTAAACCGCTGACCCTTATACTTGCCTTTATACTTTCCTATTAATGATCCTTCATACAGATCTGTAGTGAAAAAAAGAAATTTAGATGACTTATGCGTCTGATCTGTTTAGGGTGGAGTGTTTTCTCTGTGGGTGAGGCAGTAGTGGACAGGGATGCAATTTTATTTTATTGTGTCTCACCATATCAACAGTTCATGTAAACATTAACGTGAATATCTCAGCTGAAGTTGGCCAATTAGCTTTTATTTACTGCATACACATAATGTGGTCAGTGGGTCTAAGCAAGACACTTAACCCCTAGTTGCTCCAGAGGCGTGCGACCTCTGACACGTTTAGCAATTGTAAGTCGCTTTGAATGAAAGCGTCAGCTAAATGAATAAATGTAAACGTAAATGTAATGGGTTGGATGTTACTCAGTACACAGTGAAACCTCAGCTGTACAATGTTATTGTTGGGAACCTTAGGAATTTAGGATGAATATACAGTATAGCTGTATTGTGGTTTTTAAATAATACATTTTAGGGTTCAACTTATTAAATAAAACTGCTATATATTTAAATTGGATCTTCTCATTTATTAGCAGAAATGTTTAAGTTAAAAAAAAACTGGTAGTGTGAAAGTTTGCATTTCAATGATACGCCTAAGGCTCAAGTGAAGAAAAGTAACAAGACTCATAATCCTTGATAAGACCTTTAAGACTCAAAGAATTTATTTGTTTAGGTCTACAGTATGACTTAACTATATTGCTAAGCAAGCAGAGTTTTTTGGTCTTTGGGGTTCAAAACTACTAATTGCTTGTTACATATGATGTAAACATTTCAGAATGCAAAGGATTACAAGAGTAAAATATAAAAAAAAAGCATCTTCTCACACGTCACAAGGTCTTGATACACAAATTTAGGATTGTCATTTCATTAAACAAATTCAATAAACCTTTGGTGTATGGCACTATCCCCTCTACCCTTCATTAATCATCAACAATATTTCATTAATACAGAAAAAAGAATTTCCATGCTCCCTAATAATACTCAAACAAAATACACACAAACAGCAAAGGGAAAATTTGGAAACCCAGGCAAAAAGTTGACATTGGGTCTACACCGGGGTCTTACAGTGACTATGAGCAGATCTCTGTAGCTGAATGTTCATGGACCCCTCAAAAATTTGTGATTAGTCTGCTTCATAAAAAAATAAAACACACAATTACTTAGTGAATGTACAAATTGGTGTGGTGGTGCTCCAACACTTAATTGGGCAAATCGTATAGTTACAAACCTTCTATAATACCAATAACAACAGAACCAGTAGCAATAATATGAACAGGGTAACTACGATTGGAACCTGGACAAAAAATGATAATAGTAGCAATAAGTAGAAAACAACCACCAGCAGTATGATTCCAACGTGTTGTGACGAGGCCTGTAAAAAATCTCTTAACATATCGGTTGTTCCTACTGAACCTGCACCACTTCCTGCTCCTCGTTCTCCTTCTTTTTCTGTTTCTGGTACTTTTTCCCCCTCTGTTACAGCTTCTCCAACTTCTTCTCTTTTGGTTTTAGTTTCTTCTTCCTCTACATCTCCTTTTCCTTCATCTTCATGTTCTCCTTTTTCCTGCAAAACTACGGCAGCTGGCCCACAGAAAGCTTTTGCCAATGATTCTGCTGCAGGGCCTGTTAATTTAATCCACACATTCTTAGAGATGGTTAACTTATTGATAGCTGTGTTTCCCACTGATGTTGTGTTGCCCCCTTCCTTTATTTCTCTCTTCACTGCTTGTAGCATCTTATTGGTGTAGCAGCTTCGTTTGTTTTCCATCACTATCTTGTCTGTTGTGTTGAGCAGCTCTGCCACCTGGATGTTGTTTTTCCTGTATTCATCCTGTTGGTTGTTCTTCCAGACTACATTGTCAACGACATGGCACCGGCCACCACACTTCTTCACCAGATCGCTCAGATTCTTATTCTTACTGACAAACTCCTCAATTTTCATTCCTTCAGGGAGCTGGTTACCATGTGTGAAGACAACTACAGCATATTTGAAAGCTTCTGTAGGAAAATATTTAATTATTTTAGTGACAAGCCTGTCCTGCTCTGAGTTAGCTACTTGAAGCACAATGAAAAAAGCATGAGGCCCAGGAGTGCACTCTGTGATCCAGCTCACTATCTGACGCTTCATGTCCTCCTCAGGTCTGTGTGTGTCAAAGAAACCGGGAGTGTCGATCAAAGTAATTCTTCTTCCATGAACAGATTTGGACTCTGCTCGGCATTCGCTTGTTCCACAGACGGGGGGATTCTCTCTCTTGAACACGTCCTCTCCAAATATAGTGTTTGCTAGGCTGCTTTTCCCAGCTCCAGTGTTGCCCAGCAGGACGATCCTGTATGCTTTTAGCACTAGAAGAAAGTAATGACATAAAATGAACATTGTGAATTTGTGTTCAGCTGGTATCAAAGTGTGTCGAGATGTATCTAAAGATATAATAGGTGGTTATTGTGCACATTAACTGATTAGGGTGAATCTAAAGAAAATAAAAGCATATTTTCATTGTCCTCATTTGTAAGGCAATTTGTAAATTCTTTTTATAAGCTCTACTAGTTAACTGATCATCTTTCTGACATTTATTAGATATCTCAGCCAATGGTTCGTACATAATGATGTGGAGTCTATAAATAGCTGCAACCATGTGTAACACGGTCACACATAAATTGGTATAAAAGCTTTATAAATCTCAGGAAAATGATGTACATGTATATTTCTGTCTTGGTACATACATTAAGTAGTGAATCTGCAGAGAGTTTTATATTATCTGGCCCCAACTCTCTGGAGTTTCCAATTTTGCACACAATGAGAAAACCATGAGCACCCGAATGAGGGGCTTTTGTGGTACACCTCTGACTTGCTTTTGCTCACTTGCAAGTAATTTATCTTTTTTTAAAAAGTCTCTTCAAGTATGTTTATACCTTTGATGCTTTTCTCAGCTTGGGCTGTTCCGGCGACGACAATCCTTGTTGGTGACACTAGAAGAACAAAATGATTAAGAGTAACTTAATATTGAACAGAATGTTTTGCATTTGAAATCTTATTTTTTGCAAAATAATCAACTGAATATGCGCTGAAGATTAGCTTATAACTGTGACTATGGCCTCATATTGTGCATTTGGTCGTTTCCTGTTGCAGTGTTTTCTAATTTAATAGCCTATACAGGAAATAGAAAAATATTTAATGGATTATAATATGTTTCATTCTCTTTTGTTGCTTGACTTGTGGACAACATGTCACAGAAAAGCTCCCATTGTTATTTCTGTTCCAATAATGACTTTTACCTGACACTGTTTTTACTCTTGCTGTTGTTCCTCCTCTTCCAGTGACTTCCAGAACTTTGTTTTCAGCCTCTTGTCCCAGAGGTGTTACCATTATCGTGGCGTCTTCTTCTTCTGCTCCTCTTTTCGCTCCCTTGTTTTCCTGCAGAAGTAGGAGAGCTTGCCCTAAGAAAGCTTTTGCAAGGGATTGTGCTGCAGGGCCTGTCAACTTGATCCACATGTTCTTAGAGACGCTGTTTTGAGCATCATTGCTGGTATTGCTTCCTTTGTTTTCCATCATCTATTGTGTAGAGCAGCTCAGCCACCTGGAACTGGTTGCTTCTGTAGTTGTGTTCTTCCTTATTCCTTCAGTAGGCCTATTTATTAACAACGACGTGACACCAGCCACCGCACTTCTTCACCAGATCGCTCAGATGTTTATTCAGACAAACTCTTCAATCTTGTCAGCACTAGAGGAAACAAATAGCAATGTAAAATGAATACTGTACATTCATGATTGTTTGTGGTGTTGCCAGAAATACTATGCAAAGTGCATTGATTTCATAAATGACAAGGAGTAAAGGCCCATTTATACATCCTACGGCGTAGGTACGCACATAGCAAGGCATTTATACTTGTGCGAAGGTG